CTGCATTCTGATGACGGAAAGAAGAAGTGACAGTGAAGCTGAAATTGTAAATAACTGGTTACTGATGTCTACACCCCATGACTTCCTTGTACAGAATATTAAATTATACGCATTTTTTCTTGTATTTAATTTAATCTTATTGAATTACATTGCATTAAATCTGCTTTGTCGACAGCGCATAAACCACAATAGAGAATACATGCACTCTTTAAAATTCACTATATTTGTTTAAGCGGTAGAAATATCTTATAAAACATTTCTGAATGAGACATGCTCGAATTTACGTTACACATGGGAAAAATCAAGAAACTTCCATGCACTTATCCTATCAGCAACACCAGCTGCAATTAACCGGTCCCAGAGCTTCACCCAGACCTGCCCCGACCAGACGATTCCATTACGAGCACCACCAGCCTGGACACAGTACTCACAGTACTTTGTCAGTGGGATGCTAAAATGTACCATCAAGATCTGCTCATACACCCATGACGAGAGACCACCTGCAGGTTGGTCGTGGGCCCGTTAGCAGCTCCCCGTCCGAAGAACGTTGCAGCGCCTCCACCACACCAAGGTGGACCCACAGAAGGGAGTTGTGACGAGGATTTGAATCTAAAGCAAACTATTACGGTTCAGCAGTCTTATTCATTGAGACATTGGTGGCAAAGCTCTATAAAATAATACGTATGGATTCCAATAAATGATCTTCTGGTACAAGAAATGGTAAGTTTTTTGTTTGTCTTAAAATTGTTAAATGCTAGTGAAAATGAAATATATATTTGGGTTAAGCAATGTGGTATCTATATTAAAAAATCTGATGTCTACACCGCATGACTTTATAAGGTATTTCTCCCGCCTTCGTGGTGTAGTAGTCAGCACACTCAGAGCGTACGTGAGAGATTTCCGAAGAAGGCGTTGCTAATTTTTCATCTTCCCCGCTTCCAAAAATACCTAATGTCTCTACAAATTTTTTGTAGGGGATATTAAATTAAACGCATTTTTTCCTGCATTTCGTTTAAACCTATTTCCTGGAAATCCACTAGAGGTATATTTCTCATTCAATTAATTTAGTTCTCACTTCGCGACAAGTCAAAAATACATAAAAACTCAAAATAGTTTCAATAAAAATTGAAAGATATAGAAAAACATGAAACACCAAATACAGTCAAAACAATTTTTTACAATTAAAATTTCAATTTCTACGCAAACGAGCGATTCGGCCAGCAGGCAAAAAGACAGATTTTTCGGTGCAAAAAGCTGAAAGTTTAATTTTGGTCCCACACTGCAAAAAGACACTGAAAGTGCAGAAAGACTTAATTCACTCTTCTGCTGATTTTCAAATGTAAACAAATATGGCTGCTACGGTAAAAAAAAAAACATTAGGCTAAAAATATTAGGCATAGTCGTACTTAAATAGCTTTTAAATTGTTAATAATTCTGAAACTATTTTTTGCATATTAACAAGAGGCATAAAACCTTAACCGAAAGATAAAATCAGCATAATTCGATCATTTTTAAAGCAAAAAATGTACAATATACCAACATATAACAATTAAAAAAACTGAGCTCACTCAGCCGAGTAACAGAGTGTGCATATATATATATGTACTTTTGGTGCCGTTATATATATATTTATATACTTTTGGTGCCGCCGATTGCCACCAAAAAGGGAGGAGAACAACTACATGCTATAGCAATCCTATATATACAAAATTCCAACGTCCTGAGGCTACTCGTTTTTGAGTTATGTGAGATACATACCTACGTACGTACGTACGGAAGCCACCAAAAAAATCTCTTCGGAATCCATTTTAAATCAGTTTTATAATTCGTTTGGGGAAAAAGAGTCCTTCTTTCTGTCCTGTCCGTACGTCCTTTATCCTTCCTGTACGTACAGATGTCACGGAAAAACATCCTTAAATTGCATTCGATAAGCCGTAAAAAGGGATATTTTTGTTGAAATATGGTACTCGGAATTTTTCGTGATTGCTATACTTCCTTTACGTCGTACAAGGAAGTAAAAATGCAGGAAAGTTTAAACTGTTTTAATGCAGAACAGAATAAATAGAGAACAATATAATAATATATATGCATTGTTATATTAATATCTATATATACAGAAAAAATATATAGAATGAACAATAATATATATTTATATTATATTAATATATATATATATAGAAAGAGAGAGAACAATAATAGGAATCATGACAAATACACAAAAATCGTGAAAAAGCGAAATACTTTGCTGACGCGAAGACGCAGAATCTATCAGTTTCCGATTGTTTTGAGAAGAAACTGGATAAAAGAAATCAATTCCACGATAGAAAAGATTTCGTTTAATAATTCATGTTCTATTGTGAATCAATAAAACGAAACGTCCATTAAACTAGAGAAACTTTCTCGGAAACAATTGTGTCAGACTCAGTGCAGTTCACGAATTTGAGTGGAAAGCAACTATTTGAATTATTCTTACCGCATATTTAGATGCAATCTTCCACCATTTTGAGCTAGGTATGGGTAAGATTTTTAAATTTATTGCCTATTTTTTGTTTTAGAAGCAATAAAGCTACAAGAAATATCGAACAAAATCAATTATCCAAATTGCAGTTACCCCAAACCTACTTCTACTTTTCTTACTCGTCTTTTGAAGTAAAATTAATATTGCTGCTAGTTTATTCATGTGTTTCTCTTTTAATCAATTTTCTTTTAAAATTTTCTCCATAAAGTCATAAATTTATTTCTTTATATAATGTTAAAAAATTAATCATATGAATAACAAATTATCATTAACATTAATTAGTACACTTTAATAATACATTTAACAATACACTTTAATAATGCATAATAAATTTTACTAATAATCTTAGCTTTATTACTTTTAAAATAACAAACTAGTTTTTAATTTCTTTATATGTATTTTTTATTTCAATAATATATAATATGTTAACTTAATTTTATTTGAATGAAAGTATTCCATGCATTTAGTTTTGCGTAAATTTGCTTAATTCTACTTAGGTAAAATTAAAATCAAGATTTTATGTTCATTTATAGAATTGAAGTGTATAAAAATTAAATACATTTTTTGCATTTTCAGTTCATATATGTGTTCTGCATTTAGGTAAATATTTTGTAAGGTATTTCTCCCGCCTTCTTAGCATGCCTTCGTGGTGTAATGGTCAGCACACTCGGCGCGTATTCAAGAGGTCCGAGGTTCGAGTCCCGATGAGAGCATCGGTCATTTTTCACGTCTCTCAGCATCAAAAATTCTAATGTCTCTACAATTTTATTTTATTTACTTAGCTTTCCATTATTTTAATTATCGGTTGTTTATTTTGGCAGCTTCTTTATTTCACATCAATAAGAAAAAAGTAAGATTAGGTCAATGTTTGTTAAAAACAAATAAGTTATGAGTTTATTTCATACAACTAAATGTCATTTTTTTGTATTTGAGTATAAATATAACCAACTCCAATATTTAGGATTATCGTTTTAAACATACAAAGTCAAAACAAATTAAAAAAGAGTTATTCATTATTTTAGTAGGAATTGAAATGGGTTTATGCAAATGAGCAATAATTCTACGGTCCCCTTTTGCAGAAAAGTTTGTTATCTATTTTATTTACTAGAAGTCTAAATGTTTTATCAATTGCGTACATACAGTAGTTGTGTAAATAACAATAAGCAAAAAAAAAATTTTTTTTTCTTTCGTTATCCTGGATGACCAAAACGTAATGGAACGATTTCACGAGGTCTACGTGAAGTACGCATTATGTGAAATAGAATGAAAGGATGAAGAATGATGACTCTAAGTCTTTTTTTTTTATTACGATGTAGAGACATTAGGATAACTGGAAAAGCCGAAGAGATGAAAAATGAGCAAACACTTTCTGCGAGAATCGAACCGCGGACCTCTGGAATACGCACCCAACGTCCAGACCACCACACCACGAAGGCATGCCAAGAAGGTTGTATAAATACCTTATATATATATACCCTCTTTTAAAGGGCGACTGGGGTTTTAGGGGACCCGATCATCAAATCCTGGGTGTGGAGAATCATCATCAAACATACTTTTAGTTCGGGAGCCACTGTAGAGATATTAGGTTACTTGGAAAACCCCTTAGAGATGAAACATTAGCAACAGCCTTCGCCGGGAATCGAACCACGGACCTCTGGAATACGCGCCCGGCTTGCAGACCACCACACCACGAAGGCATGCCGAGAAGGCGAAAGAAATACCTTATAACCTAACTTTTATAATCGCTGAATTATCCTATCCCGAATCCGATAGTGTTTTCAGTTTCCATAAAACCACTTCCGTCATAAATAGATGTTTTCTTTCAGTGTTGAAAAGTCTTTTACCTACCAACGATATTATAAATGTGTTACTTAATGCATAAAAAAGTAAATCACTAAATGTATATTTTATCTGGATGTCTTAGAAACATTTTGGTATAATTACATAATTCCAGGTATATTATAGATATAGCGTATTTTAAGTGAATTACAAAATTTCTAATTCTACTTCATGTATTCGTTAGTGTCTTCATTAAAAATAAAACTCAACGGCTCTAAAGAAATGCTGAAAGACTCTTTCTAGATATTCGTTCCTTAAATTTGTTAAAATAGTGAATATGTTATGATACCATGTCATTTTACATACATCTCAAAAATGCAAAATCTAAGGCTGGGACTTTTCAAATTTTAGTTCACTTTGAAATATAGTTTTTATCTTGTTCAACAATCAACATTTAGTGTTAAAAGTTGGCAACAGTAAACAGGTGTTTTAAAAAGTAGAGGTAAATATTTGTGTGATTTTTATACTTTTATTTTATTATATATACTATATATACATGATATATAAATTTATATAATTTTTTTAATGATAAACGTTTTGACGTGGTGGTATACTGTTATTTTAAATGTTCAGATAAAAACTCTGTAGTGTATTTAAATATTATTATTAGAGATAAAAATGAAATATCTGCAGGTACTTGATCATGCCTTCGAGCTCCGGTACCGACTCTCCTTTCACAAATGACACCGAGCTCGACGACGAGGCATCAGCCCGAGGAGATGCAAACGACGTGGTCTTCATCCTCACCAGCTCTTTTCTCATATTCACTATGCAGTCAGGTACATCGCCTCTTTCTACATTAATTTCTCTCTGCTTAAGGGTTTTTGAACTAGCCACTCTACAACAATATTTAAATCTGTAGAGAGTGGTATTCTTCTTGCATTCTGCTGTAAACTATAGTAAACTCCCAAAACTTTTTCTAACTCGAATTCAAACTTTTGACTGCCAACCTTCTTCCTCCAAATCCCTGCGTCGCTTTTCGTTACCGTTTCATCCTGGCAAGACACTCCTCATCCACACTGCTGCTTACCTGGGTAAGATGACGCCGCATCCTAAAACCCGTCTACATGGAAATTACTGCATTCAACAATGATTAAAAAATATCTTATCTATAGAAAGATGATCTGATGTGAATTATCCTGCAATAAATTTATGTTTCGAAACGGCCATATCTGGAAGTTTTTGGTTTGTGCCTTCATCCTTCCAACTACGCAATCAAGTGTCCTTGGAGGCCAGAAATCGAATTACTTGTTTTTCTTTCAAAGCAAAGTAATATTAAGACATACCTTCAGAAAACATGTATAAATTATTATGTAAATATAAATGGTTCTAAATTCATAGAATTTTTGACGTCCCAAGAACTGTTAAATTTCTCTGCAAAATTTAGTGAAAATCCCGGTAAGAAAACAGTTACATATACAATATTTCAAGTTTAGCCGGTGGAACAACATTCCAAATAATTGTTTCATCTACAGAATGCAAATTTTAGATCCCTAGAATGCGGTTGCTTGCCGCAGGAGACACTGAAGCTCAAACTTTTGAAGCGATGGAACAATACATGAGTGGCAAAAAAGCCAGTATGCATTTCAGAAGAAAGTACTGTAATTTCAACCCTAGAGCAGATCTTAAAATATTTACTCTAGGGTTGCAGTAATACCCTAGAGCAGATCTAGTTCCAGGAATGTGCGTTTTCAGAATGATGAAATGTGGAGCATTTTACAGCAAAACATAAAAAAGTATCTGTATCTCATATTTCTGAGCCATTGGATTGGGCAAGGGTGCTTCGCCCTTATGAGCTTCCATGATCACCCGATTCGATCACCCATTTCTATTTCTTTTCTTCCCATCTTAAAAATTTCGATTAGGAGACTTCGCTTGAATATGAAGCCAGAATTTCCCTCGGTGCTGGAACAGTATGCTATGTGTGCTTATGGTTCGAAGAAGTCCACCAATAATTCTTTCGAAGATTTTTTTTCCATTATCGGGCAGTTAGCCGACTTAGGCTTGGCCACTGCTAAGGCTGGAAATGGTGACCACTTTATCGTGGAAGCACCTACCAGGTGAGCCACATTTACCTCCTATGAAGGGATAATCATATGACTACTGGCAGGATCAATGAGGTAGCTGTTAACTTTCATAGAACTTTCGAGTTTCAAGCAACTCGAATCTACCATTTATAGCGCACACCTTGGAAATGGCGCTGTCCAGAAGGCTCGTTCTTTTATTTCACACGCATGATCTCGTGCTTTCATTAGTGATTCAAAAGTCACTACGTCCTCCACGGCATCAACACCAGGAGGAGAGCCTTCGTTGGCTTTACTGCTTGGGAGGCAGATTCTAAAAGGCTCGTGTTTCAAATTTTATTATTACGTGCCTGAACTCTCAGCGACGGCACGGAGACCGAGCTGGTCGCAGACGTGCTGTGGAAGCTTCTTATGAAGGAACAGACAATTACAGTCATGCTTGTTCCGGGATTCGAACGAGGGAGCTTCGGCATCGCACTAGGCTCACCTAACCACTATACCGTATAGGCGGTTAGCAGTAATTGTAATCATTACTGATTAAACCTGTTCCCCCTTCTCAACTTCTGCATCCGAGTTTGCGCCTCACCTCTTTGTCGTCACCACCAAGTAATCTCTAACGTCTAAGCGCTTCACATTCAACCATGCGTTCTATGATAAAAGAATGATCCTTTCGGTGTATTCTTTTATCTCTTGGAGTTCGTGCAATCTTTTTTGAAACCCCCCGTGTTTGAGAAACATTTACTCACGAAATCAATTCTGCCTGTAAATCTGTTTACTTTGCTAGGATACTATCACTGCGGGAAAGCCTGAATACAGTAATACATGTAAACATTTAAGCTTTTTTACTAGTAATTTCACTGTCTATTTTTACACACTTAAATCTTCTCTACATTCTATAATAGCTTTAACGGTGAAATTTTCTTTTGAGGTGCTTAAAGTTTCTTTTAATTCTATGCTCTATTCTATTCTATTCTTCTAAGGATATGCTCTTTTGGAGTCTGGTATAGTGTCGCGAAAGAACGAAGTGAACATCTTGGTGAAGAACGCTACTAATGTACTGGTAGGAGGCATCGCCTACTGGGCATTTGGATTCTCACTCAGCTTTGGCAATCGCTACTCCGATCTCTGGATCGCTCTAGGATCATTCTTCACACAGGCCGACATCGAGGAGATGGGCGTGGTTTACTCGAAATTCGTCTTTGAGGTAAGTCACACATTTTGTTTCATTCCTTTAAGCTGTTTTCTATTTCTAAAGGTTTAATCTAACCTCCTCAACCAATACAAACCATTCTCGCTTTACGGCACTTCATTTTCTAATCATGTAGATTTAGAGTGGTTTAACAGAAATAACACTAAATGGGAAAAAATACATTAAAAAAGGATGATATAAAATAGAAGGAAAATGTAGCTGGAAAAAACACTATTCTATGTTTTTTGTACATGACTTTTTTAATCTCGCTGATTGAAATCGAGGTGTTTGATAGAATTCAATGACATGAAGTCGTCCAAGCGTTTGTATGGCCATGTTTTCGCATGCTACTTTTTACTTCCTTGTGCGAAGTAAAGCACTGTTATCGCGAAAGTTTTCGAGTACCTTCATTTTGACCGCTATCGAATGCTATTTAACGACGATTTTGCATGACATCTGTACGTGTATCTAATTTCGCCTTATTATTTATGTGTTTAATGTGTTCTTTCGTATTTTTTTTAACCTTCTTCTTTTCATAGATTTGACTATTTATGACATGCACATGTATCCTAAACTGCAATGTAACAAAATGGCTCATCAGCCCTTGTTTGTACTGTAAATACTTTTATTAATTTCAGTAAAGTTGTTGTTTCTATACAGGGGAAGTCGTGGAACATCTGCTTTTTGTTTACCACTGTTAAACATCTTTCCTTTGGTTTACCACTGTTAACACCAGGCGTCCCCGTCTTCTGTCACCTTTCACCTGTACGTAGCGGCAGAATAAAGGACACGTTTTCCCAAGACGATTTGCAAAAGGAATTTAAAGTGGATTCAAAAGAGATTTTTTTTCGTGACGTCTGTACGTTGCGTATGTATGTATGTATTTCGCATAATTCAAAAACAAGTTGAAATTTTATACGTAGGACTGCTATGATATTTAGTTGTCCATCTCCCTTTCTGGTTGCAATTGGATGCAGCAAAAGTATATAGATAACCCACTCTGTTACTCGGCTCCGTGATCTCAATTTTCTTTTATTCTTATACGTTGGTAAATTGAGCATTTTGTGCCATAAAAATGATTGAATTATGTTGTACTTATCTTCCGGTTAAGGTTTTTATGCCTTTAGTTCATTTTATGCAATAGTTTCAGAATTAGCAACAATTTAAAAACGTAAGTGCGGGTAAGCGTAATTTTCTTACCAAAGCAGCATATTTGTTTACATTTGAAACTTAGCAGAACAGTGAATAAAATCTGTTTCTGCACCTTTCGTGTCTTTTTGCCGAGTGGGACCAAAAGTAAACTTTTCGTTTTGTGCAGCGAAACATTTGCCTTCTTGTCCGCTGGTCAAATTGCTAGTTTTCACGTAAAAACTGTAAATTTAATTGCAAAAACAATTTTTTTAATTGTTTTAACTGTATTTGGTGTTTTATATTTACTTATACTTTTCAATTTTTAATAAAGGTACTTTGGCATTTTATGTATTAATTGAATGAGAAATATATCTCTAATGAAATTCGAGGAAATAAGTGTAAATGAAATGCATAAAAATACGCGTATAATTTAATATTCTCTACAAAGAATTCATGTGGTGTACACTTCAGATTTATATTACCCCGCTCAGACGGTACAAAAGTTATGAACCTACTGCGGGACCGAATGGCCCAGATTCGATTCCCTTAGAAATCCTTTTTATAACTGTCCATCCCTTCATAAGAGGCAAGGTGGCCGCCTATTAAGTTTCTCCACAATCAAATGGCCACCACTTCTGGCCTTAGGAATGGCCGATGACGAATACGCAAGTGCCCGCCATTTTGGGAAAAATTATTGCTATTATTATGAACAAACAGTATATCATACCTGCTCATAATATATCATGCTTTGTTGCCATGTGTGCGCGTTTCTTTAAATTTCCAATTTTATCTTGTTTTATAAACACATTAAAGCTTATTTAATTGTTAAAACTGAACTTAAGTTTGAACATCTTTCTTTTTAGTCTTCCCAGTGTTGGTTACTGTTAGCTCACATTCTCTTTTAATTTGTCATACAACACATTAGTTTGTGTGTGGTGATAAGTAAATATAGAATAAATAGTGATACAATTGATTTCAAATAAACCTAACCATATCTGATGAATGGAAATGTATTCGTGCAACTTCCGAAATGGAAAAGAAAATACCGTTTTAAATTTTCTGCAAATAAAGCGGAAAACATTCTTTCACTATGAAGGTGGTAAAGGTCACTCAACATCACGGTTACAGCAATCTTGCACATTGCAGATAAGAACTGAATAACAGGCTACATAGAGTAACTGCTACAACTCTCTGTCATTTCGAGAAAAATTATTTCATTAACAATTTCGATGGCATGTAAGGAAAAATAAAGCTTTTCTTTGCTTCGAATAATCCCTTCAGGCTGGCGTTTTATCATTGAATGATTCTCAACCTGTTGAAGTTTGCCTCCAGGGAAGATTCATTAATTACTGAATAACACACGCAAAGTAGTGCTAGATAAATTTCAGTCAGCTTTTAGATACGGATACAGGCAGTATTTTACTTTTCATGTTACCTTCGCGAGAAATTAAATGTGTTAATTCATTTAGTCCTATTATCTATTTTCACATGTTTAATTAAATAAAATAGCACGTTTTGAATCTGAGGACTATATTGTTTCACTTAAGGTTCATGATTCCCCCATTCTGTAAAAGAGACACGAATATAATAAAGAGACACGAATATAATAAAGAGACACGAATATAATAAAGAGACACGAATAATCAAATACTAACAAAACAACCTATAACAGTTTAAGTATTGGGCGTTCAAGAGTGTCTTCTTAGAAAGATCTGCTTTCATGATATCGAATATTCAAGATGATCCTGTTTTTGATAACATTTGTTATCAAAAACAATAAGAAGTTTAATGCGGATTCTCTGAACTCATATGGAGAACTCTCTATTGAACACAGAACTGAATATACTTGAGATTTCTGCCAGCTACCTTTAAAGTATTAAATTGACAAAGGGAACGATAATTACTGGATTTTCTAGTAAATTCCTTTAAAACATCCAAATGTCCATGATGCCTCCTTCCTTAAATATCGCTCTTTTTTGTGATATTTTCCTAAACACTATGAATTTGAATGCAAAATTTGCCACTGAAGCCCTGTGGATATAAAAAAGATATTTCAAGATTTAGTTAACGTACTGGAAATTCTAACGTTTATCTGCCGGAAATACGTCGAAACATAATAAACGAACAAAATTACCTAAATTCTCAGCTATTACATTTGAAGGATCTCTTGCCGTCCATGTCATCGACAAATAGATCAATTAGGCTTTCTATTTAGTCATCAACGTGAAATATTCTTGATAAACTAAAGTTTTCTGAAAGCTAGAATACTAAAGTGACTATTTGCTGAGTTCTTGTAAGTAACAAGTCCAAAGAAAGATTAAATTATCCTTTATTCTAACTCAAAGTAGATTAACATGTGGACCCTCTCAGGAGTTTTACTTGAACTTTAAACATCACCAGCGTATACTGGCTGGCACGTAGAAGTACGGCCGTAGAATAGTAAGCTTGCTTAGTCAAACAGCAACAACGTAGCCGAAAGGCAGAACACGCTTTTCCAAGTGACCGGGAATTCAACTTAAATAGGCATTTATACCTCATTTGCATAAAACGTAACTCGAAAAACTCATTGGGAAACGTAGATGGAAATTTAGGATGTATAGAAAAGGCTTGTTCCAAAATTAAAATAACTTTTAGAAAAATAAAGTAAGCCTCACAGCCAAAACCTTTGCCATGGTGCATCATAGGGGGTGGACTGATATTACACCTGCCAGAGAGTACAAACAAATAAGGATGTCAAACCCACACCAGTGCTTTCAGGCGAACAGCCTTTCTTCGCTAATCACTGTGCTATCCATAATGATATTTTGTCAAAACTTAATCTGTCGATATTCGTGAGAAATGTTAACTGGCTTCTTAAACTTTATATTGCTCAAAAATTAGCTGTATGCTACTTGTACTATATCAATCAAAGAGAGGAAAATAATTTCTTAAAATGAAACGTCGTAATATCGGTTAACAAGTGACATTGTGTAGTGTTAATAAATATGTTAATGGATCACTGAGCTATTTTCTTTTTGCAGTTGGCATATGCAACGACGGCTACCACACTGATCTCGGGCGCCATGGCAGAGCGGTGCAAATTCACAAGTTACTGCGTAGTGACGGCCCTGATCATCTTCGTATACAGCCTGCCTTCAGGATGGATGTGGAGAGATAACGGGTTTCTCGCCTCTCTGGGAGCCGTAGATGTGGGAGGATCGGGAACCGTCCATCTTGTTGGTGGCTGCTGCGGAATCGTAGCGGCGACCATCCTGGGACCGCGAACGGGTCGTTACGACAGAGGCCTCCAACTGCTTCCCCTAGGCAATCCCACCAACGCCTTGCTGGGTCTCTTCATGCTGTGGTAAGCTACCCAACTATGCGAGAACTTAAGAATGTAATTTCACATGCTGAAACCCTTTCCTTATTTGTTGGCATATTTCATCTTCTCATATCTCACATTATTATTGCGAGGACTTAAAATTTTCTCATAGAAGTGTGATATAAAGTACACAGTTATATGCATCCTTAGTTTACAGAAATTTTGTTTCGCCAACATTTATTAACATTTCAAATGATTTCAGTATTTCTGTGCGCGTACGTGCGTGTGTAAATTAACCAGGGACATTTTAGTGTATCGGCATTTTCGAAGTGAACAGTAATCCCAATCTTAAGCAAGGACTCCAGAGAGGATAAAGCGAACCTTAAAGTCCGCTTTATCCCTCCTTCCTTCATAGAATTAGTTCCGGATCCTGCTTGTCTCTTGTGTGACTTCTGGCTTGCTGCCTCTTCTGCCGTACCCCCTGTGTCTTTACGGGAGCGATTGTAGATTTCCAGACTTAAGTTGACGGATTAACCGATGTCTTTCCATCTTTACATTCATTTTTTTTTCTATGTTCATTTACCTTTGTTTTAAATATATCTGTTGTCCTGTGCACTTGCCATTGGAAATAAAAAAGGACTCTCCTTTCATTTAAATATGGATCACGATATTTCTTCTCCGTTTATTCTACGTTTCATAACAGAGTCTAAAATTGACTTCATACTTTCCTAGCTAATTTGATTTTAATTTTCTACAGTAGAATACTTTTATTTTCAGGGTTAACTCATCAAGGTAACAATGGTTACCTAGAAAGAAAAAAAAATTATGATCTGAAAAAGAAGGCAAAAATTCTAAAAGGGGAATTTTTTAAATAAAAGAAGTTAGATTTTCAAAAACCAAATACTGGAATGCCTATATAAATATGCTAATTTCAAATCAAAGAATCACTGGAAAAAAAATTCAAACTTTATGTTAAAGCTAAAAGAACAAATTTGAAAAATTCTTTTCTTGGTGAATGGCAAGAAACATTAGAAAATTTTCCAACAGCTTCTTTTTCATTCTAAATGCATATCTTTGTGATACGCTTCTTGAATTTAAAGTTTCAAAATAATTTTTTATAAATAGGTAAAACATTAACCTTATTTCAGTAACAGCTAAAACTGTAGAGACATTCAGATTTTTTGGAAGCCGGAGAGAGGAAAAATTAGCAACCGCCTTCGCCAGAAATCAAACCACGGACCTCTGGAATACCGGCCCAGCGTGCAGAACCACTACACCACGAAGGCACGCTAGGAAATCGGGAGAAATACTTAAAATACTTAAATAAAACAGTAACCTTTCAGTTATATGACACATTTCATTTTATTTTGCTGCAGTTTTTGAATAAAGCTCTATTGATTTCGAAGGTCATTAGATGCATGTTGCTTTTCTTTAACACTAAAAGGATTCTACTCTTTTGCACTTGACAAAGAGGGAGCTATGTCTGATCGCCTACGAAATCGATAGAGTTTCATACAAAATCTATGCCAAAATTAGATCTCTGTCTTGGCTCATTTAAAATTTTACATTGACGTGTTTTTCTTCAATTCTGATAATTTTATATAACTTAAAATTTGCATTAAACAGAATGTATATTAGTAGTCCAAATAACAGATTGGTTGCCAATATCCTTATCTACTTTTTACAGGAAATCGAAGGTTTTAGTTTTGCTCAAGAAACTACCTTTGCATGTCGTGGTATTTCTTAAAGTAATTTTTCATTTTTTCACCAGCGGCCGATCCATAAAGTTACTGAGCACTGGTAGCTCCGTCCGGGTTTCGAATCTCAGCAAACGGACTGGCTACATGGGCTACATGGGCAAAAAAATAAATAAAGGAACATTGTCGCGTATCAACGTTTTGCTCAAATTTATTGAAGACACTTTTGCGACGTATCCAATTAAAAGAAATCAATCGACACAAACTCGGCCATTTAGACCTAATATAAGACAGTTAGGCGGGAATCATGTTCCGGATTATACATCGGAAATAAGCAACAACCCTACGCGAAGGTGTTCGCATTGCTACAAACGTAAGATCAGGAAGGAATCGCGTTACTGATGTTCGATTTTGCAAAGTGCCATTGTGTATAGTACCCTGTTTTGCTGAATATCAGTCCACAGCAGGAATTTAAATTCTTACTTTTATATGTATAATATTTAATTCAATCTATTGCGTTTTTAGTTTGAATATGTATGTAGTATATGTTTATGTTAACCAAATAAATAAATATTAGACATAAAATGTTCCATTTTCGAAGTTTTTCAGATTTCTGACGTGTATAGGAGCCAGTTTTCCTAAGTCCTCCACGAAGGTATCCCTCTCCTCAGGTAGATAATCCTGGAGGGCTTTTCCATATTCAAATAAACCAATCAAATATTTTCTTAAAAGTACCACACAGTGCATTCTCTGAAGTGGCATCCAGCAGCTTTCATGAGGCCTTTTAGTTACGTTTGCATTTACTTAGCAAATTCACTTTAAAAAGACTGTGTGCTTGACACTGATCATTATGAATCGTTATCAAGCAAATTTTGCCTTCAGAAGTTGAATTTATTAACCCGTTAACTATGGCGCTCTCGTTTAAGAGTACGCACCCTTTTGTGTCGCCAAAAACGAGCCATGACGATTCTATTCGTCCATCACAGAGTAAGTTGCGCTGGTAAGATATTGGATGAAAAAGATGGTTTGGTTTTGATGAGTTGGATTTGTTTTATAAAATGGAACATTTTATGTCTAATATTTATTTATTTGGTTAACATAAACATATACTACATACATATTCAACTAAAAACGCAATAGATTGAATTAAATATTATACATATAAAAGTAAGAATTTAAATTCCTGCTGTGGAAAAGATATTCAGCAAAAAGAAAGCATCCCTGTTTTGCTGTGGATTCAGCAAAACAGGGATGGGACTTTGCAAAATTGGAACACCAGTAACGCGATTCCTTTCTGATCTTACGTTTGAAGCACTGTGAACACCTTCGTGTAGGGTTGTCTTTTTTCCGATGTTCCTAGTATATTATCCGGAACATGATTCCCGCCTAACTGTCTTATATTAGGTCTAAATGGCCGAGTTTGTGTCGATTGATTTCTTTTAATTGGATACGTCGCAAAAGTGTCTTCAATAAATTTGAGCAAAACGTTGATACGCGACAATGTTCCTTTATTTATTTATTTTTTTTTTTGATATAATATGTTCAGACACATAATGCCTAAGAAATGGAGAAATATCTTTTTGTAGTACTTTTTGAGTCGCTTTCTTGCTGTGGAGTACGCTATGATAATTCCAACGCTCATATCCACTCCACCCTTTTTTTATTACTATAATCAATCACTAGCTCCGGTTTCTTTGCTATTATCTTTCTTTTCTCTGTTTCTATTACGTTTTACATCTAACTTAAACATTTATTAAGAAACATAACAGTGCTTTTTGTTACATTCCGTCCTATTTAGTTGCGAGCAAAAACAGAAAAATTTTAATTTTTATTATATTACGATGCATTTTGGAGCATGACTTAAAACTAAGCAATTATTATAAAATTTCCATCATTATTTGCAGCAGTCAGTTTGACTTACTATCTATTACAAATTTTCTCCATAGCTGGACATTAAATTAGTCGTCTGTTTTATGAAAATCAATATTCTCCGTTGCCAAATAGCTCTAATGAAAGGGTGGAAGAAAAGAAGTTTAAGTTAAGAAGAACTAATCTTAAGTCTTCAGGTAGGAAACTTAAAAAGAAAAAAATGTTAAGTAGCAGGTTACAGGAGCAATTAACTTTCTAAGCAGGGAAAGCAGCAGAAAATTTTAAGAAGGAAATATGAGAATATTTTCTATTAAACTTACGTCATAGAAAAAAAATGAGGAGCAGAGTATGTTTGAAGAAACAAAACCGATTTGAATTACGAACTTAGTAACAAAGCAAGACGCAATCAGTGCATTTTATGGCAAAATAAACTAAAATGATGCTTTCCTATTTCTAGGTGGGGCTGGTTAGGATTCAGCGCCGGAAGTACAACTGGCATAGTGGACGACAAGTGGAAGTATTCATCGAGGTAAAAGAAAAAAAAATCAGTTATTTTCATTATAAATCATTAACTCTCGAAAGCAGCTTTTTGTTCTTAGAAGAGGTGATGCTATTGTAAATTCTAATAAAATCATGTGCAGCGTAAATAGACATTGCTGCTAATTGCGATGAATAAAATCTTCCTATTATAATAACGGGGCTAATAGAGCTTTGATTCCAAAATCAATTTTATCTTGATTCCTTAACGACATTTTGCAACAACCCTTAATTATAAAAAAAATTTTTCCTGTGTTTATATACCTCCAACACCTTCATTTCTAAACTTTTTCATTCTATCGGGTCAGTCCATACGTTCGTGCGCATTAAGAACACGCGTGGAATTCACTGTGACGCATTTACTAAAACAATACAATTTTGAACCTGTTGAAACTTGTCATCATATAACTAACATATTATTCAGTTCATCACCAATTTTCATAAATATCGAACTCATTTTAGTACCCATAGAAGATGAATATAGATAATCAGTACAAACGTGCTGTGCTAGATTTTTTTTTATTTTCGTGTGGTGAATCTGTCAGGTTTGCAGCGATAAAAATTAATAATGTATATGGTGAACACACTATTAGTGTAAAGACTGCCCAGAAATGGTTTTAAAAAATTTAAAGTTGGAAAAAGCAGCATGGATGATGAACCCCGTTCAGGACGTTTTGAACTGTTATAACCAAATCAAACGATTCATTCAGATGTTTATAGTGAACAACTTTGTCGTCTAAACTCAGAATGGATCCAAAAACGCCCACGATGGGTGAATATCAAGAAGGTGTTGTTTCATCATGATAACGCTTGACCGCATACGGCTCGAACAACTCTGCAAAAAATGAATGAATTTAATTGGGAGCTTTTGCCACATCCTGCTTACTCCCTCAGATATTGCCCCAAGTGATTTTACCTTGTTTAGTGCCTTACAATTTTTTTTTTTTTTTTTTTTTTTTTTTTTTACTGGGAAAAAAATTAAATTCCAAACAGGATGTACACAATGAACTTTCAAGGCTTTTCTGCATCAAAACCAGAGTGTTTCTACAACAATGGCATAAAAAAGCTGGCTGTGAGATGACGAGACATTGTAGATAATGGAGGAAAATATATAATTGATAAAAATGTTAAATTGTGTTTATATATATTATAATATCTATATATATATATTATTTAAAAATTTACCAAAAAGTGCGCACGAATTTATGGACTGACCCAATCTTTCTTGTGCACGCTACTGTCAGTGCTGAAATTATTATATATATTATGGAAACTCTTTTGAACATGGGAGCTTAAAGCCTGAGTTCATTTACAGGTGGTATTTTACCTTGATTCTGCAACAAACCTTAATTATAACAAAATTCTCAGAAGTATATAGATTTCTAACACCTTTATTTGCAAACTTTTTGATTCTATTTCTTGTAAACGCTACTGTCACCGCTGTAGTTGCTAGTTTCTTTACGGATCGTATAAGGTTTCTGTAATTAAACTTTACTTAACTCTGTAATTAATTTACTCTACTTAACTCTATAGTTACTATAGGGATGGATAGGTGGCGCCACTAAAATTATTGTTTTTGTACAATTTTTTTCCCGCCAATTTATTCAAATTTGCATGATCAGATTTATTATTATTTAATATCAACAAATTTTTACGTTTTGCAAAATATTTATTTATTTTGCTGTGTTTTATGCTGCGCATAAGAAAACTTTCAGTGTGCGAATAAAAGAGTGTTTTTTTTTTTTTTTTTTTTTTTTTTTTTTTTTTTTTTTTTTTTTTTAAAGCAGATTAGCTGGTTTAAATATTTCAGTGAATTACTCGATATTAATATGACTTAGAGTGATCCCCTAAATGTAATGGATATAGATTACATCAAGGATTTTGCGCATATATTAAAGAAAACAGATAGGAAATAAAACAAAATAGACCCGATTTTGTACTACTAGATTTAGTTGTTTCAAAACGTATTTACAAACAATTTGTTGTAAGCAGAGTATTTAAAAAAAGAGAGATCTTTGTAACGTAAACGTTAAAAAAAACTCTGTTTGAGAGTAAATTGATAACAAAGATTCGAAGACAACATTTTAAAACTCTTCGCAAATTCAACGGAAAAACTGTAAGTGAAAGTTAACTATAAACATTACCTTTATAATCACACTCTGAAAACGAAGTGGCGCCATCTTGTATGAAATTGATTAACTAGCTAACGAAATTTGGTAGAGCTCCAGTTGGGACAATACTTAAGCACCTTTTATTCAGTAACTGCAAACGAATTTTCTACAGTATTACATGGAACGTACAATGAAATGCCAATCTACATGTTAGCATGATAAAAACAGGCGTGAAAAAAGTAAAAATTATGATATTAATAATGGCTAAGTTGCTTTACTAGTGAACAGGTAAACAAAACGTCGCTTTATTATTAGTGGCTTTCTTAAAATCCTGCCTAATTATAATTCGAAGGCCACCAGTTGTTCGATGAATGAAACTGCTGAGCACTGGAATATAGACCCGAGCTCAAATTCGGGCGAAAGTTTTGACTAGGGTGAAAGATTTCATAGTTTTCTCCGTATGTTATATGACTACAAGCCAGTTTCTCTTAGAAAAGCACTCCACGAAGGCAACCCTTCTCCTAGCAGATAGCTTTAGTTTTGCCGTAATTAAATAAATCTAAAATTCAAATTCTAATTTAATAAAAGATTTTATTTTTACGTCTGCAGTTCATCATTAACATAATATAAAAATCATAAAACACAGCTTAATCTTGAAATGACGTGTTTCAGAAAAATTTATATTATAAGCTACGATCTTGTATATATCTGAAGCTTAATGAATTAATATGTATTCTGACTTTTTTCCAGAGCATCTGTCACAACAGTACTGGCTTCATCTGGAGGTGGTTTGGTGGGAATGATATACAGGTATTTTTCTAATCTCTGTTTCACAAACCTATCTATTTTGCCTCTTGTAAATGTGCGTATGTCATAAAAGATATTTCCAAAGTACGTTATTGAAAAATATATTTGTAAGAAATGCTGTGGCAGAAAAAAATGTGGGAATGATTTTCAACTCAGATATGGTCATACGAGCAGTTAAAAGTATTTTGAATTTCCCGTGCCCATTATTAAACTATCTATTTAATTTTATTACCAATCCATAAAGTAAATAATTGAATGAATAAAAATAATGATAAATAAAAAAATCTGAAAGGTTTCAGATTTTAATGGTCGCCAAAGCGATTTTGTTAAGGTTCTTTATGCTCTCGCTCAGTTCGCAGTCTACCAGTCAGCAGTTATGCTCACGCCTGCTAAATCATTTTTTTGTCATTTTAGTTTTATTATTAAGCACTCTTTTCTTCGCATTAATGCCATATACAATTCAACAAAAAAAATTTTAAAATTTTAAAAGCAGCATGTGTTAAGAATTTCGGATGAAGCGTTAAGTGTTGCTATACATTTTTCTGCTCTTTTTTTATTTGTTTGTTTTTCAGTCTTTTTTCAGTTTATCATATCAGCGTTTCGCTTTCGTACTAAGATAGCTTTAAATAACTTTTCTTTATCTTTTTATTATTAATGTTTTATGTGATTAACTCATTTATTAAATATCCTGCTCTTGGCGCTTACGTCACATAAAATTCGATTCAACGGCAAAATCACAAAATATTGGGTTGAAACATAAGTAATGGCCGTTTATGTTGTGTTTAAAATTACGCGGTAAGCCCCAGCTCTCCTAGCCAGTAAAGCTGGCCATGTGGCTTAAAAAAGACCAGACCTTCTAACCAACAAAGCCAACAAAAGCTCAGGAACTTTAACCAATAAAAATGCAAAAAATAAATAAAAATAAATAAATAAATAAAATAAAATATGATAGTTGCAAGCTGCCCAGACAAGTACAAAAACGAACAAAAGAATAATTAAAAGATAACGAAATATCATCTGCGTAGCACACGAATTTTAGTTCTCCATATTATTTAAAATCTTATTTACAATGAGGCTCCAGAACAGGGGTGCGCAACAAGAGCCCTGAGAATTTACTATGCTTTCATGGTACAACATCCTGATTCGCCGTTTCCTATCACGCGACCCCAAGTGATCTCATCTCACTTAGACTACGCTACAAAAATCTAATTCTCTCAGTAATTATCTACATTAATTTCAAGTTAAATCTGAATTTGGAATGCAAGTACAAGAATTATTTCAATTCGTACAAATAGCTTACTCAGAAATTATGTAAAACCGTAGTGATTTACTTCGCTAATGCATTCTCATTAGAATGGATGTATTTAACCCTTGACTTTGCCTTTTCTATGTTTTCGCCATCGGGTGAGCGGTGTGATTGCATCCTAATTGACTTAATTACCGAGACTGGTCTTTAGGGCATAAAATTGAAATATCTGGTAAAACTTCTATGTAATTTTATGCCAGTATTGAAAGAAACAATCAATCTGATAAGAAATGGCTCCGACTTGTTTTGAAAATGTAGCGTAAAAGGTTACCAGCGAGAATATTCCGTTTGGCATCGGTTGTACCATTTTTGTTGAGTTTATCGCTTGCGCCGGCAAAATGGAAAAAGACCTGATTCTATTCTGCAAGTAGTTCTTCACAGTATCAAATAGCTGTTTAGAAATATCAATCGATTTCAAAATAGTCAATAGAGAAGACCAAAGAATCGAATCGAATGCCCCCGAATGTCGAAGGCAATCAGGGCAACATGGCTTGTTTGCCTTATATCTCTAATATATTGTATCGTAGTCTAAAGTGCCAAATCTGCTGATCTTCCTTGTCTAAAACCAAACTGATTTTCACTAATGAAACGTATTTCGTTCAGCCTATAAAAAACTCTATTAGTAATTAATTTGTCCAACACTTTTCCGTGCGTTTGCAATAAGCAGATCGGTCGGTCACCTCCATTAGATTTCTGCAACAAAATACGTCTTCCGATTTTCCAAGAATCTGGGAATACGCATAGTGATAGGCATTTATTATACAGGATAACATAAAAGGAAATAAATTCTCCAAATAATTCCTTCAACAGCCAAGCCCTAATGCCATCTAGTCCGGGGGCAGAATTCGATCTGAAACTGTTTACGACATTCAAAATCTCTTCCCATGTGAACTGTTCTTCTCTATAATTATCCTTGTCCATCACAATTTCTTCAATATTATGTTCAACATCATCATCATTCAAACCAAGTGTCTGTTCAATAATTCTGTCATACAGATCTTCCGTCGAGACGGCTCCCCCTCATGCATGTTTTGTTTCAGAAAAATGTTATTTCTCAATCTATTCCTAGAAATTCTATAAAACAGTTCATAGTATTCTTTATTCTTAACAAACAAATTATTCTTAAATATCTCTCTTTGTTTTCCTAATACATTTTTGATACAAAGAAATATTCTGCTTATATATATTTTTCCTTTGATTTGTCTCATCATCAATTCCAACCACTTGAGAAATCTTTCTACAAGGGAGCACTTTTCTTCTCATTTTATCCACATCATTAGTCCACCATTCAGTCTTATCCTTGTTTTTAACCAAATTCTTAACTTTTAGGTATTCATTCATCTTTCCCACAATCATTTCTTCTAATTCGATAATCAATCCATGAAAAACCCTGGAGGAATGACATTCCACAATACGATCTTCAAATAACCGAAAGTTACTCCGCAGTTTATTAATAAATTTCTTTACTTTCCACTTTCTCCTACTAAAACTATAAATAATTTTATTATCACAAACAAAATCTATTAAAAAAAGATCTATTAAAACTTTTGGTCTCTTATGCTCTCAATATTAAGGATCTTCATATCCAAATCTCTTGCTCCTAGTTCCGATGAGACTAAGTTCGTCCAACCCACTCCGACAGAGGAACTAAAAGTTGGTTCAGAATTATTTTTATTTAAAAGTTTCAAATCATGTTGCAGTATAAAATCATTAGTTAAAACTCCCCGTTCATCCATCATTCTCGCTCCCCATATAAAATTTTTACGGAGTTAAAATCACCAACAATGATAAAATTATTTTTATAAAAGTTTAAGACCACTTGTAAATTAATTAAATGTTCATTCAAATCCTCTGCGGGAGAAAAGTAGACACTAATAATGCCTAACCGTTCGCTTTGCTTTTCAACACCAACATATACAATACAATCGGAGACCGACTCAACAGAATAATCCAATGCTTCACCAATTACAATCAAAGCAGGTCTTCCCTTTTTTTCATGTCCATGAACTTTTACAATACGCAGTCTTATAATTTATACAATAGGGCTCCTGCAGCGCTACAAAGAACCACATTCAATGCAGAGAATTGGGCGGCCGCAGCAGAACAATGATTAGTATTTAGACTTAAAATCTTCATAATAAAAACTAAGTACGTACAGCTAAAACTCCAAATCTCCATTCACATAAAATCCTATATACACTTAAATTTAAAAACAGCAATTTAGTTAAAATCTGTATATCAATATAAAATACAAAAATTTAAAATATCAAAGTTATCTAGAAAGTACTTATCTGATCAGATGTCCCAAAGTCCAAATGACTTACCTGACCGGAGGGAAAGAGAACAGGTTTCAGTCGATAATCCAAAACAGCGCAGACAGCTATTTAGGCAAGTAAACAAATTAGTCCCAGCGGCGGCGTATTCAATATCCAAGTGATATCTAATATAACGCATCTCCTTAATTAATATCCAAATGATCTCTAATATATCGCATTTCCTCAATTAGTACCGGACAATTTCTTGAGAATGCATCATGTTCGTCATCAAATTTCGTACCAAATCGCTAATTTGAGAGACTACAATTAATACATTTCTTAACATTAGGTCTGCAAGCAGAGCGATCATGTTTTTGCGAACAAATCCCGCTCACGATATTATTTTTACAAAATTTCTTGACATGGCCAAAGCCAAGAAAATTCAAACATCTTTTGGGTCACAAGTATAATTTTGCTGAGTACGATTTTCATCCCAACGTAATTCTCTGATATTAATATAATCCTCTTGGCAAATACCAGATATCTGAAAAATTCTGTGCGATACTTCCTTTTCAACAGTATTGATATTAAATAACTTTCTAACGCAATTTCCCTCGCATGAACAATCTACTTTAATTTTCTGCTCTATAAGTTCATCTGGAACAGAATCTGATACGTAATAAACAATAATTTTGGATTTAATGAAATTGTTCCCTCTAGGGTTTACAAATTCCCTTAAATTTTCATTTTTAAGTCCCTCTTTTTCTAGTTTTCTACATTCATTTCCACTAGAAAGTCGTAAAACGAAGTCCCCATAGAGTCGTACGTATGATCTCTCTATTTTTATCCGAATTTTTAAGGGATCAATTTTACTCTTGACTTTCTCATAAACATCTACTCCATCATCTACCGGTCTAAGAGTAATTTCATTTCCTTTATTTCTCCTATCAACATTGCCCTTCACATGTTCTATTTTCTCTTCATTATCTCTTCTCAATCCAACCTTCTCTTGTCTCTCAACAGACCTATCGGAGACTCTATCCTTAAAGTTCCTTCAAATCCCTGTCTAGAGTCATCATAACTAACCAACTATCTCTCCACTCTGTGCAGATTCACTTTTGTAGCCCATTCTGTAATTGGTGCCAAAACTATACTCAAGGCCTTCACACAGAATTTATTTTTGGAATTTTCTTTTCTTTTATCACTTTAAATATGCCATTTCATTCAAAATAACGAAAATATTCTCTTTTGGTTTTAAAGCATTATTTTCAACATTATCCTCTTTTTTTTTCAGAAAAACCGTTTTATATCTTCTCCACTGAAAATTTTTATTTTTAGTCATATTGCACGCAACGCTGCGACCTAAGAAACTCTTAAATATACATATAATACAAAAGGCAGCAGCAAAAAGTTCTACTTTACTGAGCTCTAGTTTTCTCAAAATCTCTATAAAATCAATGGAATACTTATATGTATTAATGAACCGGAACAGTAAATACAACAAATATATACAGATTAAAGCAATAGACAGGCTTTAAACTTCTAAAATAGCCAAAAAACTTACGTTAAGCATGCAAATGAGCTCGCTTGATATGGGAAACGTTTTTGCTCCTGAAAAAAAGACCTATGTCTGATTGCCTTGGAAATCAGTACAATTTTATGCAAAATACACGTAAAAGATAAGGTTGCTGTTTGCCTGACTTTAGATGAGGAATGATTTTATTTCGTGTTACTATTTCACATTCTTCCACATCATCTGTGGTACTTTATGAAGTACTACAGATGATGTCCTTTTATGTTTTTACAGTTCTTTTATGAAGAAAGCTTTTTGGAGTAAAAGCAGGTAAATTAGTCACACTTGTCTCTGAAAATTGCAACACCATTAATGCCTTTTCTGTGATATCAAGAGAGCTAAACAAGTTGAATAGAAGGCTAAATTGGAAATATAATCAAATGCAAACAGACCATAAATTAAGCTTTTCTTGTTTTTCAGAATTCTTGGCATACACTAATTCCTTCAAATATGAAACATTATTCTACCAGGTTTAGTTAATGCTAGCAAATGTGGTAAACAAATGCATAGCTGTGTAACTTATAATAGCCAAGTACCAAGATCACTAGTACCAAGGCCCTATTTATGAAGAAATCAGTAGGAAATCGTGTTCTGAAAAAATTATTGGTGTCGCCAAATATTTTTCTGGCCATAATGTATCCCGTCTTGCGCAACAATCATCACTGCAGGAGCTATTTGACGCGCCATATATATGTTTCCTTACGTAGACAGAGGGTCACGGGCATCGCAGACTTACAGTGATACTTGCTCGTGATGCTTGCTCGTGATAAAGCTCGAGCAAGTTACAGTGATACTTGCTCGTGATATGTCTGCTCGCGATGGTCTTGAGACTACTAGATATGATGGCCGATTTCATCTGCTGAGAAACATAGATACTGTCACCAGAAAATGCTTCATCGGGAAGGTTATAGAGCTCTCGATCGTACCCTTTATTAAACGCTTTCCTAGAGGTACGAGTACATAAAGAAATTAGAGGGAAATTTGCCTATAGCCATACAGAGGAATATCCCATTTTGAGGAAGAACATCCCGGTGGGCCCTCGGATGATCCCTTACCATCACTCTGAGGAAAGAATCTTTGGCTAGCCGGACACTGTGAGTACCAACTTGTCTTACAGACATTCGAGTCTTCTCCGGGATTCGAATCCGGGTTCATTGGTACGGCAGTCATCGGCACGGCGGTAATAACCGCTATACCGGCTCAGCGGCATTCCTATAAGTACATTTCTACAGGAGAATATATGTCTACATGTTGCTGAAAACATTGAAGGCTCCTTTTTGACATGTCAAATACCATTCCTTCTTTGGCCTAGCCAGTCACCACATATAACACCAACCGTATGTATTTGGGATTTAATCGGCCAGAAATTCGTTTGCAGCATTCATCTCGCAGCCAATATTGATAATCTTTGGCCTTGGATAGAAGCAATATGGAATGGTGTTCTTTGAGTATGTTTTCGAAAACTTTTGATCAGATGTTTGCAGAATAACAGCCCTTATTGCCGCGCATGATGGCACGGTGGCTTTACTTTGCACACTGATTTTTCGGCATTTACATTTCTTGTGTTGCTGTAACTTTAAATAGTTCTATGCCTCACAGCTCTTTGAATGTGAAATTTTCATTAAATTCTAATTCATTCTTCATGGTGTTGCTATTTCTCGCAACAGGACAACATCAAACAAGGATTATGCTCATTTCTTCCCCTAACATCTAAATTATGAAATTCATTTTATGTTAACACATTCAAACAATTGTTCTTATTATACAAATACATACACATTTCATACTCAACCTCAAAATTTATCTTCCACAGTGAATTTTAAAATTAGTTTCGGCAAACTGATTTACTTTTCATTTGAAGTTGTGCCTTAGAAAATAGTTATATAAAAAAATTTTTTAATAAAGTCTAAAATCCAAACTATGTTTAACACTTTCTATTTCATTGCAGTTTTATAATCAAAAAAGGAATCCACGACGTATCCATCCTCATTAATGCGGTCATGGGATCACTCGTGGCAATATCAGGTGAGATGTAAAATATGCACAATGTAGGATCGAGTTTTCAAGACAATTTTATTCATGCTATATATATAGGCCCATAATAATTATTATTTCATCTTGTTTATCTAGCGTCTAATGGTATAACATTGTTTCAATAAATGTTAATAACACGAAATATTCTAAATAGTTGAAAATAAATTTCGCTTAAGTGTTTCATTATGTCTGTTATATACTTCGAAAAGTCATAAACGAATGGTAATAGAATTGGAATTATCTCTAGATACTTTAAAGATTGTCTTCTGTTGAATTTTTAACAATCATTTGTGTCACGCATACCGATCGTAATCTGCTTCAGAACGACTTTTGACATGCGAATCATTTGTTATATGGAACATTGTTTTTCAAATATTAATATGGGAATAGTTTTAAACTTTCTCTTAGTCAGGTACAGAATAACAAAATAACTTTTAAAAATTCGGAGAGTATTCAAAAAATCATCAAAGATGCAAATATTAGAAATTAACTAATTCATTAATCATAAAAATATTTATTGATATTATGCACGTCTATAATATCACAGTTTTTCGTTTCTATTTTATGAATTCTTTCCATATTTTACTCGAAAGTTGAAGTCTCACCTTCATTTTTATTTTGTTACATATTTAGCATATTAACTTTTTTGTTGTGATTTTAGAAGGTCGGTATTTCTAGAGTTATCTAAAGTGGTTTGCCTCCCGATATTCTTCGCGATGGTCACGAAGTACTGTATAATCTAGATCTGCCGTTCTGTTTGCCTCAGCTGGCTTGAGATGCTATAACTTTGTGGCTTGGACCTCTTCCACTTCATTAAAAATAGTTGATGATTGCTATATGCATGAACCTCTTTAGAAGAAACTTTCCTTTGAGCATCCTCATATTTCTATTAGAAAGGCTCAGCTCAACTAGCAAGTTACAAATGGATATTTGCGACATAAACTACCGGCCAGTTAGAATCTAGACCACAGATTAACGAGTAAGTCCATGGAGGTACAGATCTCTGACGAGTCACTGACTACCACGTAAAAATGGATCTTGTGAGTGTGCACGTGTGCTCTTTCAGCAACTTCAGCGAGTTACGCCCTCCCATTTCACCCCTTAGGCATCCCATTGAAAAGCATTCTAAACTTTCCTTTAGGCATTTTCCTTAGGCGGACTTTCCTTTAGACAACTCCCTCGGCAGTCGTTTATTGTATTGGCTAGGATCTGTACCTTAATAGTTTCGGCACCGGGGGATAAAAACATGAGCCTGGCGGTTCCAGAACCCTGAGAGAAGATCGTTCAAAACGGTTGGTACCAAGCGGGGATTGGCAGTAAGTTCCTAATCTGGGGGTATAGTCAGAGGGTACGGCCTGGCGTTTGACCCGAATTCCATGTAATTCCATTGGTGTCAGAGCGGTGCAACGGCCAGTCCTTTATATACCTCCATATTTTGGGTAATTCCTTCAGTGGGGAGTTGCCCGCATAGTATTGGGGGGTACTTAACAACCAGTCAAATCTTCAGGCCAATTAAACCGCACCCGTGGTGGTCTGTGGTCTCTGAGAGTGATGACTCCAGTCGATCAGTTCAGCTATGGGTTAAAGAGATGAATTAGTCTTTCGCCTGTAAGTGTGGGACAGGCGGTAGCACAATGAATTTTCTTACGTTGTCGTTGGAGGCGAAATATGACATACCCATTTCCTGCCTAATATGCAGGTGCTAAGTTGAATTTGGGCCTGGTTATGTGCCATTTTTGAGATTGCAGTACCAGCAGTTAACAAACTAGTTCCCCTAGGCACATTCCATACTGCCTTAGGCATTTCACACTTTTCACATAGTTTGCGAAGCTTACTACAGTGATGTATTTCCGCCAAATGCTCTGTATTAGTTAGATATATGGAAGCATGTTTCGGGGATTATTATACCAACTTTGAGTCATAAGGACTCGGCGCTTTGCAAAGTCCTTTAGCTGGAACCTTCATAAGATCAACGAAGAGGTTTTCAGGAAATATAATGGTATCGTTAGTTACAAGTAGAATTCATACTACGAGGTCGACTTATCAGGTTCAGTGTTTCTCCTTACTTGCTTGGGGAACATTGAGGAACCTGACTCGGAACAGGGAGCTTACTAAAGCTATGTTCAATAAATGTGGGAAGTAGACAAGATACACAGGAAGGGTATACGAAAACCCTTTATTTTTCACTCTTTACAATAATTTCCGTACTTCGGAATACAGAGACCCACTACTTGTGGTCTGAAACGTAAGAATATAAAAATATTAACTAAACTCTAACTTAACTTTGGAATAATAAACAAGGGCCTACGTGGAAGATTGGCCGTTATATTAACAGGAAGCCGTATGTAGTACAGAGAACTGTTAACACTACAATACGTTTAAAATTATCAAGAGGATTAAACCTCTGGCCTGGAAGGCAACCAGCAACCGAGTAAAACTGCTAAGGTAAGCGGCCTGCTTCGACTAACTCCTTCCTCTCTCTCTCGCTTGGCAAAAAGCCACAACTTAAGTACTTAGCGTTCGCCAGACACATTTGCATAAATAAGTTAAAGCTTTTAATTCTGGCCGGAAGTAGAAAATAAGAAGTGATAGTAAAGATTTAAAATAAAATAAACGTTAGTAAAACTTAAGATCCTTACAGACTGACTGACACTCCGAATGCGCTTTTAACAGTGATCTAGCTCTGCATTAAAATTTCAAGTTTAGCTTTACATCGGCTTTATTACCACAAATTGCTACAAGATGTTTTTATGAATTATAATTACTGCACATGTTCTGTTTGGGTCTAAATTCTTTACTTACAGGTGGGTGCACCATCGTCCGTCCTTGGGAAGCCATCCTAATCGGGATGGTGGCAGCACTGCTGGTGCTCCTCTCTATTCCGCTCATAGACCGACTTCGAATCGACGATCCTACGAACACCTTTGCCGTCCACGGAATCGGCGGTATCTGGGGCATGTTGGCCATTGGTCTGTTTTCCGTTAAAGACGATATGAGAAACTACACTAGGGGCCTCGATGGATTATTAAAGGGAGGCGGATGGACTTTGATAAGTGCTCAAGCTCTAGCCTGTGGCGTTCTGATTTTTTGGAGCGTTACGATGTCCACCCTTCTTCTTTATGTAAGTATCCGCTTAAGTAATAATATTCTGAAATATTAGTTAATTATTCTATGATAATTAAAATACGCATATGCTAAGAATTAACAGAAGGCAAATTTTATTCTAAAAAATGTATTTTAATTACGGGCAGTCTAAACAGTGAACTCTTCAGACTTTTTAATAAATGTCGTACAATGTACCTTTAAAATAAGACTTAATTGAAATAACATTTACACCGATTTTTTTTCCTTTTAGATAAAGTGCATTATATTAATTTGTGAGGACTGAGAGAACACATTTTCAGAAACTAGGTTGCTGTTGTTGTTGTTACTAACGCTCATTTGTCTTTTAACGCTCATTAGTCAGCACAAACCCACGAAATTCCTCGTGGCAAAGAGCTCAAAATTACGCCTGTCGTTGGCAGCAGCCTTGAGCACCATACAATTAATCAAATAATTAAGTAATTAAGTCGTTGGCAGCAGCCAGAGCAATTTAGCTCTGTTCGGCCTCCAATTTTAATGGAGAGCACCCCGGGGGGGACCGGGTCCGATAGTCTCCCGCCCTCTTCCCCTACCATCAACCTCTCGAGAGAACTTTAGGCTCACCGCATATTTAGAATACTCCATGCCGCACGGACACTATACATTTAGAAACATGCATGCCTTCTCCGGGATTTGAACCCGGCCCCTTTTACACGGCAGTCAGCGATGCTATAAGTTACGATTAAAAACCAAATGACACCTAACCGAGCACATAATATATGGCGTTAGATATATCCTGTATGGATTAAAGCAATGTTGCAAATTTTCGTTTTGATCGTATAAAAATACTTAACATTACGAATAAGATTATTAAAACTAATGAATAATAAATTTCAAACGACAAGACTATTAGTTACAGGCGACATACGAGTTAACAGTCACCTTCAGCTGCTGATCAGCATGGTAACACAGTGTAACAAATTTCAACAGCTGTGTGTATTATTTTTTATTCTATCAGTTTACTAAGCAAACACAAAATAATTAAATCTGTGAAACATCAGATAAGTATCTTATACCTGTAACCATTTGGTACCTTATGCTAGAATTAAGCATAAGAAGAAAGATTTGAAAAGGGTTGTTTCACTTTTCCTATTGTTGCCACCAAATATTATCGCTCTGCATTATATTTAGAGAAATTTAAAAGATGAAGAATCTACATGAATGTATGTATGTTTCTTGCATGTTCATTCAGAAATTTGTTATTTATGCCGCTTTTAAATTCATAAAATTATTTTGATGATATATGATTTCAAAATAAATTACATTTGTTTTCCAACTAATATAATTTATTTAGCCCTTGCATAAAATCATTGGCCTCCGAATGCCTCTGGAAGAAGAAATTTTGGGCCCCGACTATGTCGACCACTGCCTCAAGCACGATGGGAACACCAAACTCATCGCTAGCTATAAGGAAAGAAGGCGGAGGCTCCTCAGGTACTAAGAAGAGGAAAAGAGGAATCCGGAACTTGTGACACAGTCGATGGTCCTGCGTAGCCATGAAACAGAAGTCAAATTTCTTTAACCTGCGCATTACATTACATTACCCAGTCATGGCATTTGCATTTCACACATTCTGGTTGGTACTACATTGCTTAAGACATAATATTTTTTTATTTAATTCTTAATTTACAATTTAACTTTCGATTTACTGGGATAATACTAGATAGGTATCTATGGTTGACTCTAAATCATGGTTATTTGAATGCAATTAAAAAATACGGAAACGAGGATTAATCTATGTTATGTTTCACAATAAAATACTATTAACAATTTGTTTGTTTTTTCAAACCGTTATGTTGGAGAATAAATTCATTTGGTTCAGTAAATTAAATTTACCATTAACAGATGGTTTAGCAATGTTTATATATACCGGATTACAATTGTCGCAAATATAAACAACTTCCAAATAGTAGGACATCAACTTCTATCATTGCCGCTATCCCTCAGACCTTGTCTTTTCTTTTCTGCAATTTCCGAAGATAACTTTCTTTTAGATTAATGGTTTGTAAGAGTAATTTATTGTAGGATTGTATCTCTCAACGACGGTCTTAGTGCAAAAGAACATTTAAGACGCAAAATATGTCGTAGTAAAGCGCAGGCCCACCAGTGGCCTAGCAGTAAAGTCAATGAACACTGGTAGTTCGGTTCGAGGTTTGAACCCCGCGAACGAGCCGACCGCATGGGCGTTTTCGTGGTTTTCGCCATGCGTGATGTGTATACGAGCTAGTTTCCCTGAAAAAATCCTCCAGGATAGCATCCCTTCCTTTAAGCAGATAGCCATTGAGTACTTCGCCAAAATCAATCTTAGTAGAGAGTTTATATCTTAATAATCCTAAAAGATAAAGTTTTCGTTTATGAATTGTTTAATAGTCAAAGAAGACCATAGCAAAACATGCAAAAGCAATTTTGAAAACCTAAATTGTTGTTAAGTCAAAGTAGAGTCTCAAAGTTGGGCAAAAATATACAACATTTTGAAGATGTCACAAGTGCCAGCACACGAGTTGTGTTATAATACAGTTTTAGGTCTAATGTTGTAATGGACAGCGAGTGGTTGTGGAATATACGTACCGATTTTATTTGTTTAGAAGTAGATATAAAATGCCAAAACTTGAAGATGTAACCATCAATACAACGTAAGAGACAAACAGAAAAATTTATTCAAAGAAGATAATAAAGTACGCTTAGCTGTAAAAAGAACTAACTCTACAAACGATATTATGAAAATAATAAGAACAAACATTTGAATGTTTCAGATTTTAAATTACGTCTAAAGGAGCGATTTTTTAACATTTTGTGTGTTACCTTTATTTGTTAAATATCGTGTTCTTCGCATTTAAACCCTAAAATTCAGTTCAACGGCAATATCGCAAAATAATTTTAAAAGGAGCATAGCTTTGGAATTTCTGATACACAGTCTCTCGCGCTGGATCAAAAATTCGTTAAAGTTTTATAAAATATGAAATAGATAATAAAAGAAATTCCAAATTTCCACTTCGGGCTTCCGGATGCCCATATTCGGGTGGAGGCGTACGTTATTCAAAATTGGATGGCTCTAGGTACCGTTGTTTAATCACATGCGAGAAACATACATACATTTATGCAGATTTTTCATTATTTAATTTCTTTAAATATAATACAGGGAGGTAATTTTTGGTGGCACCAATTTGAAAAGTGAAAGAACGCTTGTAGTGAATCGACGCAAAATGCCAAAACGAAATTAATAGCCCTTCTGGACAAATTGCTCTTTTGGGCTAAAAATAAAATCGACTGAAGTTGGTTTTTAACTAAATTAATGTACTTCTTCCGCTGTTGCCAATAATAAATTATCAAATTTGGGTGTACTATTACCAGATTAAAGTGGAAGGTATTTGTCATGGTTCAATGGTATTTGTCAAATACAAAAAATTGATCAGTAAAATTTTTATGAATTAGTCCTAATCATCTAAACCCAGCTGCCAGTTGGAACAAATGTAACAGACAACCTCCCGTCAGTTTCTTCCATCGTTCCGAAATAAACAAACTTCAAAGTTTTTTGTTGTTGTTGAATATATTAAAAGTCATCTGGAAAACATAAAAGGCAACATCTTTCGAAAGGCAAGTACAAACGACAATACCAATTTCTCTCAAGTTTCCAATTACAAGATCCTACTGGTGGGTTGCAACATACGACATCAGAAAGTACAATTTACCATAAAAGAATTCTTTTTTTCAACATCAAGAGCTACCCAGACTTAGATTTCAAGACTGCAATATTCAAAAGCCTTTGTGACCATTCTTTGACACTGGAAGCTAATTTTCAAGATAATTCTCCTGCTACTAGGTAAATAGCATTCTCTGCCTCTGTACTCACGTGACACTGACACTTTTCGAAGCCACACCCTAAGGTGTTCGATAGTAAAATTTATCTAATTTTCTGCCATGCTATTTCATCTATCTCCAATGACTGGAGCTACGAGTACTGCCCATCAAAAAAGAACTTTGATTTCTCTGCTTTAGATTAAGGACTTTATGGACCTGTTGACACGTCCACAAAACCAGCGATCAGCACAGTGTACATAAAGACTCCTTCTACCGAAAGATGCCAAATGGACACTTCTCCGTGACCAGAGCAGAATCTCCGTTGCCCACTTTCCGAGTCACGTGTTTAGGGGACAATTAGGTTGAAGTGCCTCTTATCTTCTCTTACTTTTGAAACTCTTGGTTTATTTTATTATGGCACAGAATGTGCCTACTAGAACGGATTAGACTTGTCTGCCTAATAGGACGGATGCCTTCGTGGAGGACTTTTTAGGGAAACTTACTCGTACCCACATTACACATGGGAAGAACCAGGAACATGTCCATCCAGCCAGCGCATTCGCCAGGATTCGAAACCCCCGGACCGAATTACCATTTTCGGCGACTTCACCGCTCGGACACAGGCGAGCGGTGACTCTAAGGAACTCAAATTTAAGAACTATCAAATTATAATGGCGTTCTTGGCAAGAAAGGGCTTATAAAAATGTCTGATAAAAATACATGTAAGAAATTCCTCAAATTTTCCTCAAAATTCCTCAAAACTTTCAATAGACCTCATTTTCTGACTGCTTTTCAATAGTTTACCTATGTGTTTTATTTCTATATCTGCATATATCTGCATAACTTATCCAAATTTTTCTGCAGTTAGATTCTGCCAATATGCGAAGTATTACGTAAAAAGCCAATAGATGGCAGCACCACCCATTGCTACTGAATACAGTGAATAAGTGCACATTTTTTCACAGCTTTTGCTTTTTAATAAATAGTTTTTTCACAAAAAGTTCTATATGAAATATTTTTTAATTCAGGGAAACAAATTTTATTTAATAAAAAAGAGTTTATTAAATGTTAATAGTAACACTTGAAGCTACTTTTAGAATTTCAAACGAACAGTTTCAAAGGGTCTTGTGGATAACAAAAAAAACCACGATTTAAAATTTCATATTAAAAGAAAGCTATGATTTCAAATTAGAGTTTTTACTCAAAACCATCTCGATTAGTCGATTGTTTGCTTAAATTAGGCAATTATCTTCCCATTTTTCACGAATAAACGAGGCTTTATTGTATACATTTGTAAATTTCTGTTTGGAAACGAAATATTTTGTAAAGTTATGCTATTTTCACATTTTTAAATATCTAACAGATTTTCTTTAAGAAATATAAAATAATATAATAAAAATTAATCACTTTAATGGCATTATTTTTTATTGGCGTTATTTATAACGTTTTAATTATGCTTTTTACATTAATATTTACAAGTAACACTTTTACTCTCAAGAGGAAAAAAATGCCGCCCAGATACAACGAAAATACTTATTAACTTCTGTTGTCACTTTCACGTAGAAAATTACTATCTAGTTCTTCACTAGTATCTTGGGATTTCATGCTATTATCCCTTTATGTGTCATAATAATGTTTGTAATTTTAACATATTTTATAATTTATTTTTATTTACAGGAAATCCTGTTAACTACAATAGAAAATATATTAATAGTATTTTCGATGTAATTTTTTTTCGAAAACATACCTAACAGGAATTTTTGAATCATTCGGTACACGTTTCTGTTCTTTGTAATCTTGGCTTCTCGATATTCGACTGCATTTAAAATGTTTAAAATGCGTTTTATATTCAAAACAGTACCCAAAATCAGCGTCAGAACTTTTATTGTGCTATACTGAAGAAAGTTCTCAAAAATATTAAAAAGTGCAGAAACTTGTCAATCGTCTTAATAGTTACTCTGTCAGCAAGTCACACTGATGTGTTGGATTAAAATGAAAAAAGTTTCAGTCATCAAAAGTATATCTACATATTATTCACTTTCAGTATTATACTGCATTTATTCAAATTTTTAATGGATCTCATTTTTTAACTACTCTTCAGTACAGTACCTATACGTTTTAGTTTTATATCTGTATAACTTATTCATATTTTTCTGAAGCTAAATTCTGGCAATATGGGAATAATTACTTAAAACACCAATAGATGGCAGCACGACCCATCCCTTCTGAATACAGTGAATAAGCGTATGTTCCGGCGTATAATACGCATTAAATAAGGTCTAAATTAACCGGTGCGCGTTATACGAAAGACATGTTCATTATCGGATAACACGCAATGTTCGTTGTATTGTCTTTCATTATATCTTCAGGCACATCATCGCGTTCTGTTTCATATTTACAATCGTTGTTCAGATCCATAAATAAATAATCATTAGTTTGTTAGATGTACTACACTTTGAAATGGCTTTTGAATGATGTTAGGTTTATTTTCATTCCATGCTTTTATTATCCATTTACACATTATTTCTAGATTGGCATGACGCATTTGGCGTCCTTTTATAATTCCCCCCCCCCCATCTACGTCTTCGACTGTCGTTTTAAATAATTTCCTTTCACTGCTTTCTTGACACACACATTTAAAGGCTGAACTAGACACTTTGATCCGTTTGGTGTAAGGTGTATTTAATTATGGCAAAGCACACTAGGGCTATCTGCCTAAGGGGAGGGATGCCTTCGTGGAGGACTTTCTAAGGGAAACTGGCTCGTATACACGTTACACATGGGGAAAACTACGAAAACGCCCATGCAGCCAGCCCGTTCGCGGGATTCGAACCTCGGACCGAACTACCAGTGTTTAGTGACTATTTCTAGATTGGCATGACGCATTTGGCGTCCTTTTATAATTTTTTCCCCCCATCTACGTCTTCGACTAAGGCTAAGCAGCTCGGCCGGTTAAAGGCTCACCAGCTAAAAAGCTTAAAGGCTCACCAGCTCGGCCGCTGGTGAGCCTTTAATCCGTTTGGAATTACTACCATGTTTGTGTTGTCTTTCACCAATTATTGCATTATCCGTTATGATGCAAACTGGTTCCGTTATCCGCAAACTGCCTTTCTGGATTTGTTAAGGTAACATTAAGCTTTGGCCAAAAAATTCCTATCTACAGTTTTACACCGTTTTCGTCCATCCATTCATTCTCGTGACCATGAACAAAAACACCATTTAGAAAATTTCATTTTGGCATCTTCTTTCTTTTAAAATAATCATGGGTTATTAATTTTATACCGTCCGCTAAGCAGAAAAGCACTACGATGAGATAAGATTGTTCGTTTCTATATGAACTGTATACGGTATTTCTCCTGCCTTCTTAGCCTGCCTTCGTGGTGTAATGGTCGGCATGCTCGGCACGTATTCGAGAAGTCCGAGGTTCGAGTCCCGGCGAGGGCATTGCTATTTTTTCACGTCTACTGCTTCGAAATAACTTAATGTTTCTACAGAGGCGCCCGAACTAAAAAAAGGTGGTGGATGATGATTCCCCACCACCAGAATTTGGCGATTGGGGCCTCTAATTCCCAGTCGCCTTTTAAAAGAGGGAGTACAATAAGGTATTTCTCCCGCCTTCTTAGCATGCCTTCGTGGTCAGAACGCTCGGCGCGTGTTCCAGTGGTCCTAGGTTTGAGTCCCGGCGAGGAAACTGCTCATTTTTCAGGTCTCCTGCTTCCACATAGCGTAATGCCTCTACAACCCTTTCTTGTTCCTTTCACATCAGTTGTTTTATTCCCTATCCTATCAAACATTATTAATGAGTTTGATATGATAGGAAATTGAGTTTCAGCCATGTTTCTAATATGTGACAGTGTAGAATGTTTAAAAAAGGGCTTTTTTCCAGATTCCCTGGGAAATGATCACTCAGAATAAGTTGCTACTACCTCAGGTATTGGGATACTGGTATGAATAACTTTATATATACAGAAGGAATAAAGTGCATTAATTAAAACACTGAATAGAATTTCTAACATAAAAAATGATTTTTATTCAAAAACGAACGAATAGTAATGTTACTGGGAGGGAAAAGAATACAGAATAATGTTGCTGAATGTCCTTTCATCACCAGTTTTCGTTCTTCTGTCTTCCATTTTACTTTAGAATTTTCACTCTAAAGGCAATTTTGAGATTTGTTGATCTCTAGTTGAGAATAAACAGCACCAATGCAAAAATATAGCACTAACAGTCACATATTTGATTTACCATTAACAAGTTTAGAGTGTTTAAGTTCTTTGTGACATCCATCACTGCCAATGGCTTCCAAACAAATGTGGAACATTCCAGTATGGTCTGTGCAATAACCAGGATTCTTTGCTGGATATTCGAGTAGATGTATTAGCTCCTGATTTTTCATCACCTTTGGGCTTTCTCTGGTGTCCGGTCGCATGGCGGCCGCCTGGACCCCAACCACTAGACACAAATACATTCTTCTTTCCCGGATTTCCACTTTCGTCAGCAGATTCATCTTTTTTGTCTTCCGACTCGGTTTCTCTATCTTGTTTCCTTTTTCCTGGAATCCAGTTCATTGCTCCGAAAGGGGTGTAGTGCACGTTAAAATGGCTCACGGAACCTGAAACAACAAGAAGGAACATAAAGAATTTAAAGAAGTCCTGAGCACTACCCTGTGAACATACTTCACAGAAACACAAGTTTTGGGCTGTCTGTATTTACACAGAGGATATTGACACTATGGATGCACTATATTTACAGTAGTGTGATTAGTGGGAATAGTGTAAATATATAGTGACACTATTGAAACATTATTTAGTGTGATATATTTACACTATGGATAGTTTCCAAGTGGAAACCATCTATAAGATGTTGCACCAAGTGTTTTGAAATGCCTTGCTTTTGAGAGCATTTGTGGCCAGATATCCACCTATCCACCTATTCAGTGTCTGCACATTTGTATTAATGGTTCTTAATTTGACTGTCATTTTAAAGTTGGACCTGGGTATTTTCAAATCTTTTTTTTTTTTTTTTTTTTTTTTTTTTTTTTTTTTTTTTTACGCCACAATAGGAAGCATTGGTACTTCTTTTGATGGTGAAGTAGCCGCCATATGTATAACCCTAAAGTTAGTTATCCATTATAAGTTTTCAAAGTCCAGTTCTTTTGATGATTCTCAAGCAGCCATTAGTTAGCTCTTTTGAACACCCATTAAAACCTGAAATTTTGCAATGTCAAAAATCCCTGACATCTCTCACTTTAAAAGGGAAACAAATCGTTCTCCAGTGGGTGCCTGGTCATTGTGGCCTTTGGGGCGATGAACAAGCGGACTTTCTTGCAAAACGAGGTGTTACTACAACATCTTACTACAGTTATTTCTTATTGGAGGATTAAGGGGACTCATACACCTTAAATCCCTTATGGTATTCGAATAGGTGACTGTTGCAGGAATTGGGATAAGTTATTTATTTTAAAAGCAATTTCTTCCAACTTTTTACAGCTGACTACATAATATAGCTGCTTTCTGAAATAGTAATCAGAAAGTTTGTGTTGCCACAAATTTTTTATAATTTAATCCGCTTTGTGACAAAATGTTTCGTCCTGTTTCCAACTTGTGCGCTCAGTTTAAAACATTCTGTTGCATAATCTAATTCCATATTTAATATATAGCTTTTATAACATTTGAAAACTACTGTGAACCAAAACTTCTAAAAATTCCATGTTAAAATTTTATTTTATTTGGAGTTGAGTTATAAAATGTATTTTATTAAAAAAAACTGTAATGTTTTCGTGAATAAAATTTCTTAATATTGAAATATTCATCAGATTTTTGGTTCAGTTAGAAAATAGTGCCGATATAAAGAATTCCGTCAAATTTCAAATATGTACCAATAGCCATTTTTAAAATATCATGCGCGCAAGGCGGAAACACGCTAGGAAAGTGGGAGAAATAACTTACTTACTCCCCCCTTTTAAAGGGCATCCGGGGTTTTTAGGGGACCCAATCGCCAAATATTGGGTGAGGAGAATCACCATCCAAACCGGTTTAGTTCGGGCGCCCCTATAGAGACTTCAGGTTACTTTTGGAAGACGAAGAGATGAAAAATGAGCGATCGCCTTCGCCGGGAATTGAACCGCGGACCTCTGGAATACCGGCCCAGCGTGCAGAACCACAACACCACGAAGGCACGTTAGGAGAGTGGAAGAAATACCTTATAATTTTAATAGTAGCGTCTACGGTATTTCGCATGATGCGCGAAACTAAGATCTCATTGTGACAAGAAAGCGTAGGTTGAAAACGCGAGTTTATAGGAAAGGTTATGAGATATTTTCTCCCTCCTTTCTGCATGCCTTCGTGGTGTAAAGATAGCACACTCATCGTATATTTGAGAGTTCTTGGTTCGAGCCCCGGCGAGGGCATTGCTCATTTTTAATATCCCCTTCTTCTAAATAACGTAATAACTCTATAGTGGCGCCCGAGCTAAAAGGTGATGGATGAAGATTCTTCACCACCAGGATTTGGCGATTGGCTCTCCTAATCACCAGTCAACTTTTTTAAAAGGGGGTGTATATAAAGTATTTTCTCCCTCCTTTCTGCATGCCTTCGCGGTGTAACAGCAGCACACTCGGTGCGTATTCAAAGGGTGCAGGTTCGAGTCTCGGTGAGAGCACTTCATATTTTTCACATCTTCAGCATTAAAGTAACCTATGAATTCTACAAGGTAGCTTCCAAATAAAGATGACTGCTAGTTAAAACTGAAAAAAAAACCTCAGTTTACTCATTTTAATTTAAATTTACTCTTTTTAAGTAGAAGGATAAAAAAATAACATGAAATACATCCTCTTAAAATTTTTATGTTCAGATAAAATAAAACATTTGTATAATGAAACTACGTGTTGTAACAGCTTTAAATATTATTAAAATCTTGTAGTTTAAAATAAATAATTTAATTAGATGAACATTAAGGTATATGTAAAAGGCAATGTTTGAAACAAGTTCGAGTGCCACCTGCAACTCTCGCACGAAGAATGTATTTTATTCTAAAATGATGGCATCTTTCCCATTCTAGTTCATCTTTTACCTTTTCTGGATTTTTCGGCTCTGTGTCTCTCGGCGTCTCTTTGCCCTCCTGCCATCCATCCTCTAGACGTGAAGACGTTTCTTTTCTCAGAGTTCCTGTTCGTCTTCCCTTCCTCCCAGTCGAGAGGCACGATTACCTGAAGGAAAAGAGTTGTAAAATGTATTACATTCTCAATAAGAATTCTATGGTGATGTTTCTTTTTGATTTCCTTCTAAAAAATGTGTTCAATTCAGAAATTCATACACAAATATCAGAAACGCATGAGTAAAACTGCGATTTCTTAACTTCAACCTTCGTCGAATCATTTTGAGATTAGGAACTATTATAGAACATGCTTTTCACTGTTAGGAATTTATTCCTTTCGTTACAATCGTTATTAACTCTGAAAGTTTACATCGAAGAAAAGAGGTTATAAGGCTGTAAGCTTCCAATCTTTAAGTTAAATCTAAAAATGAGGAACCTTAAGAACTAGTAAGCAAGTAATCGCTTAGTTCAGTACCAGGACTCAAGAAGGGTTAAATACCCTTTATGATTCAAAAGAAATTTAATAGTCGACTCCTCCTTGGAGTTTACAACAAAGCCTCCATTCGGCCTTGAACTCAAGTATACTATGAAATAAAATTAAATTTAACTAAAACGATATAGCCGAAGCTATCGAAATTCTAACAGAGTTAGCCCCTTAACGCTAACTAAACGGCGAAGCTATCAAGGGCCTAAAGTACGGCCGAGCGTAATAATAGCTTAAGAGAGAGTAGCCTAAAAGGCGAACGCGCACTTCTCGGAATATCTGGCTCTCTACAGAAGTCAGTAGAACTTGAACTTTAAATACTTGTTCTTCCTCCATTTACATTTAACCGCGCTTCTGAAAACATGTTCTGGTAAGAAACCGTTAGCTGAAATTAAGGAGTGACAGGAAAGTGGTTTAAACTAAACATTAACTGTTATAAACTTATGATAAACCTTACAAGGTATTTCTTCTGCCCTCTTATCATGCCTTCGGGGTGTAGTGGTCAGCATGCTCGACGCGTATTCGAGAGGTCCGCGGTTCGAGTCCCGGCGAGGGTGTTGCTCATTTTTCAATTTTCCTGCTTAAATAACCTACAATCTCTACAAGGTAAAGGAAGTTTAGGTTCGAGAAGTTTCCTCTGTCTAGTTTATTTAGTGGTTGAAACTGTGATCTGCTATCGGCTTTAAGCCAGCAGCTGCTATGTATGTGCATAATTTGCCAAATCTACGATTATGATGCGCATCATTCTAAGCTTGACCACAAGTTAAGTTTACAGCTATAGAATTATTGTGAAAAGAATTATTCTTTACAGTAAAAGAAGTTTAGCCAAATGTTGGGGTCAAGTAGCATTGAATGAGGAAAAAAACAAATCACCTGAAATTACTTTCTAACAATTCGTTTAGAGGCAAATTCATATAAGAAGCAAACGTTCTCTGTGTTGTAAGCAGAAATTATTGATTGGAATCTCTGTCAGAAAAAAAAAGTACAAGTAAATGCGTTTATTGGGGGTTATATCAATTAGAATTTGCTTAGTATTAAAGAGTTCATTGAAAGTAAATAAAATATGAAAAGGAAAACATAATATTCAATAATTATATATCATTTTAGGAACCATTTCATTAGGCAACGATGAAGTGACTCTATGTCTTGACCTGCAATTTATTTCAGATTAAAGAGTCTACCAAAAAAAATTTAAACAATTAAAATACAAGCATCATATAAACATTTCAATCTTCTTAAATAAAAGTAATAACTATCGTCCAGCTTTTAAAATAAAATCTCTCCTGTAGAATAATATTTAAATCTCAACTTAAAAACGAATAAAGCCATTCTAAAGCCCCATTTGTCTCTCCATATTTCTTTCTTTCTCGGGGGGGGGGGGGGGTAACATAAAATGGAATAAAACAAATTATCAAAAGGTTAAATATATATATAGATATATATATATTACCGTTATAACAAAATCGAAACTATGTATATAGAAAGAGGCATTCAATTCATAAGATACTTCAATACTTCATTATTATTATTAGCTTTTATTTCCCATACAGATGACAGAGTAAGGAAAACAAAAGCTAATGATAGAAATCCTAATAAAATTTAAACTAATTTGCATTCTGGTGGAAGCTGGCTAAAGGAGAAGTTACATAAAAGACAAAATAATAAGGTAACTGGTTTAATTAAAAGAAAACCTTGTGTGTTTTAATACTTATATATTAGCACAAGTATTAGAACAACCGATTAAGAAACACAAGAGCTACTAGCGTTTTAAGAGATAGCTTTCTTCATGGTCTTTTAATAAAAGCTGGTTCATACTTTCGGTACACGCAGAGAAAAAACCATGCGGCTAACCCAAAAGCCAGAATTTAAACACGCTCAAAGAACAAACTCTCAGTGACGCTGTTCCATTGGCCGCTGAATAGATGCTTCACTGAAAACAAATCGCTCGCCAACGAAGGCATTACGTAAAGAAAATTTCCTTTCTTTTCTATATTTGGTCACTAAATTAAAACGAGAAGAGGCCGGCTACATAACATTAAACGTATAATGGCATTAAATTGTTTTCACAGATGGATACTTTTTTTAAGGAAAGAAGCTCAGAATGTGTTAAAACCATTGTCACAAATAACAGTTAATCAGTTTTAATGGAGTTTGATTGCAGGGTTATTAGATTATTTTGATGCTGGAGACGTGAAAAATGTGCAATACCCTCGTCGAAACTCGAACATGGATCTCTCGAATACGCTCCGAGTGTGCTGCCGTTACACCACGAAAGCATGCAGAAAGGAGAGAAAAAAATACCTTATATAGTCCCCTCTTAAAGGGCGATTAGGGATTAAGAGACCCAATCGCCATATTTTGGTGGTAAAGATATGCGCCACCTTTTTAGTTCGAGCGCCACTGTAGAGTCATTAGGATATTTTGAAGCAGTAGACGCGAAGAATGAGCAATGCCCTCACCAAGACTCGCATCTGGACCTTTCGAATACGCGCCGAGTGTGCTACCGTTACACCACGAAGGCATGCAAAAAGGAGGGAGTAAACACCTTACATGGTGAAAACCTTTAATCCTAAAATATCACAAATATGACTTGAGTAAATCTCAAGATTTATCGAAAACGAATTCTCGAACAAATTAATGCTTATTATTTGTAAATTTATCTTTAGATTGTGAAATATTGCACAACATGTCTATTAGATGTTGCTGTATTACATGATTTGGTGGTCCCAATCGAATGCAACTTCCCTGGGTATATTTTACATGCCAAGTGGACCCAAATACTGCAACCTTGAACATAGAAAGAAATGCATGAGACATGGAAACAAAGACACTTACTTCTTCAGCCAAAGGCAGGCTTCCACGCAGAGATAGAATGTCATCATTGTCTGGAATGAAGTCATAGATGTCATTATTGTCTGGCCAGCTGGGCTCCTCTGCCGTCATCTTAGCCATTCGACTATGCTTCGGAGCCATCAAAGAGTCCTCGTCGGCAAGATACGGAATGGCATCCACGCTCCCGAAATCGAATGGTCTGTCGTCTATCAGCTCCATCTGTCGCACAGGAAAAAAAGGCGTGTTTACTTTTTCCATTTCGGAAGTTGCTCGAATACATTTCCATCCATCAGATATGGTTAGGACAATTTGAAATCAATTGTATCACTATTTATTCTATATTTACTTTTCACCACACACAAACAAATATGTTGTATGACAAATTAAAAGAGAATGTGAGATAACGGTAACCAACACTGGGAAGACTAAACAGAAAGATGTTCAAACTCAGGTTCAGTTTTAGCAATTAAATAAGCTTTAATGTGTTTATAAAACAAGATAAACTTGGAAATTTAAAGAAACGCGCACACATGGCAACAAAACATATTATGGGTAGGCTAGCCTATACTTTTCATAATAATTGCAATAATTTTTCCCAAAATGGCGGCTAATTGCCTATTCATCATCGGCCATTCCTAAGGCCAGAAGTGGTGGCCATGTGATTGTGGAGGCACTTAACAGGCAGCCACCGTTGCCTCTTATGAAGGGATGGACAGTTACAATCATGCCATTTAAGGTACTCGTACGTGTGCCCTTCGGTCCTGCAGTAGGCTCCCATAACTTCTGTATCGTCTGAGCAGCATAATAAAAATCTGATGTGTGCACTAATGAATTCTTTGTACAGAATATTAAATTATATGCATTTTTTGGTGCATTTCATTTACACTTATTTTACTTCGAATTTCCTTAGAGATAGATTTCTCGTTCAATTAATTCAGTTCTCACGTAGTGGCAAGGCAAAAATACATAAAACCTCAAACTATCTTTATTAAAAATTGAAAAATATAGGTAAATATAAAACACCAGTTACAATTAAAACAATTAAATAAACAATTAAATAAACAATTTTTGCAATTAAATTTACAGTTTCTACGCAAAATTGAGCAATTCGGCGAGTGGGCAAGAAGGTAGATTTTTCGCTGCACAAAACTGAAAGTTTACTTTTGGTCCCACTCGGCGAAAAAACAAGAAAGGTGCAGAAACAGACTTCATTCACTGTTCTGCTAGGTTTCAAATGTAAACAAATATGCTGCTTTGGTAAGAAAATTTACGCTTATCCGCACTTTTTTAAATTGTTCATAATTCTACAACATGCAGATTAACAAAGGTCATAAACCCCTTAACCGGAGGATAGTAGTAACATAATTCACTCATTTTTAAAGTAAAATAACGCACAATTTACCAACATATAACGATAAAACAAAACTGAGCTCACGAAGCCGAGTAACAGAGTGGGTATATATATATATATATATATATATATACGTTTTTCGTGAGGACGATTGCAACCGAAAGAGAGGATACAAGAGCATGTTATAGCAGTCCTATATACAAAATTTCAAAGTTCAGAGGCTACTAGTTTTTCAGTTATGCAGGATACATACCTACATATGTACACGTACGTACGTAGAGACGTCACGTAAAAATTTCTTCTGAACTCTTTTTAAATCATTTTTGCAATCCGTTTGGGAAAAAAGAGTCCTTTATTCTGTCTTTGCGTACACATGTCGCGCAATGTAATCGTTAAATTGCATTCGATAACGGTCAAAATGGCATTTTCGTTGAAATATGATACCCAAAACTTTTTGCGAATACAATGCTTCCGTTACTTCTCACAAGTAAGTAAAAATCTATTTTCACTTTGAATGGCAACCACCTAGATACTGATTACGTGCGAAACTGCATGGGAGATAAATTAAGAAGGTTGTGTTTTGCATATTTATAAGTTATCACACTGCACGTAGTGAATTTGGAAGGTAAATAAAAAGCATACTGTTTCAAAGCAGGCAGTATTCTGATAAATGCAGTTTAAAAGGAGAGGTAAATTAAAGAGCTTCACTTAATGTTGTGGTAACGTAACAAACAGAAGGTATCGTTCAATAAAGAATTGATAAACTCCATTACAGACGTTTCTTATGTCATCAGCAGCAATAATTTTAGATTCAAATCACTTGTATCAATAAATCGTAATTGTTAGCGATGTTATACAAGTCGTCAACTGAAACTCTGGAAATTAACTGCTTACCTGGTCAAACTGTGGCCAGATAATATGAGGCTGCAACTGAGGATTGAGAGCCGCTATGTCCACCTGAACCAACTTAGGTGCCAGATCACCGTACTTATAAAGTACCAGTCCAGGTAGGGAGGGTCTAAGAGCAGAGAGGTCTATAGTCACCATCTGCCGATTCTCTTCGGACTCCGAAGGACGCCTCTTCTGACGTGGTTGGTGGTCCGGCTCCATCCCAATGCCTGACTGAAGATCCGGCTGTCTGTCCGTCGATATCTCTGGAACGACGAGGAACAAAGCCGAAATCCACAACCACAAAAGAAGCATGATCCTCGTCTCTAAGAAACTAATAGAGCATTTGGTTAAAAACATATTATGAAATCAATGATGTTGTTCATGAAGTCCACTATCTAATAATGCAGTGAAATAGTTGCCAAGCTGTTATTAAAGGATTCGGCGAGTAGCGTTCACAATGGCTTTAACATCACTAATATTATAGTAATTAAATTCTACGTATTACAGTATTGTACATACTTGCAACATTCGAGAGAATTAATGGTTTTTAAGGCCAAATCCAGTGAGAAAATGAACGTAAATATCCCGCCAAAGTATTTTGGCAAATTTGAAGTGTCGATTTCATTGGTGAATCCTTATTTCCCTCTATCTCTTTTAGTGGACATTTGTTGTAAAAATATGCAAATGATCACTTATAGGATTTCACACTTTTAACTTAATAGAAGTAAAATATAAACATTTTGAACTTTTTTATCGCTCGTGGTGCCTTTTCTAAGCCACATATGGATGCCCAATGATAGCGCTTTAGATAACTCGATATTGACATTATATATTTCACTTAATAGGGCTGGTTTCAGTTCCTTTTGTATCAGTTTTGACATAAAGCAAAACTTGAACTCTTTAACTCATTCTTTTATGCGACATTCGATGATTAACTAGACTATGTTATCCAGCAAAGAAATTCTCCTTATCCGCTTGTGACAGCTAATCGTATTTTGAAATTCATTTAGGTGTTCCAAGGTCACATTTATACAGTAAGGTATTTTTAAGACCAAATCTGAGTTAAACTTGTAAGAAAGGTATTTTCTCTTGTAAGGAAGGTATTTTTGTAATAGTCTTTGTAAGGAAGGTAAACTTGTAAGGAAGGTATTTTTTCTTGTAAGGAAGGATGTCTGCTTGGCTTCATGGTAAACTGGAAGTACACTCGACGCGCATTCGAGAGGTCTAGAGCTCGAGTCCCAGCGAGGGCACTGCACATTTTTCATGTCTTCTGCTTCAAAACAAAACCTGATGACTGTGGCGCCCGAACTAATAGATGGTGGACAATAATTCGTCACCACCAGGATTTAGCGATTGGTTCCCCTTATTTCCATTCGCCCTTTAAAAGGAGGAATACATTACGTATTTTCCCCTTCTTTTGCATGCCTTCGTGATGTAACAGGAAGCACACTCGGTATGTATTCGTGAGGTCCAGGGTTCGAGTCCCGGCGGGGGCATTGCCCATTTATTACGTCTCCTGCTTCAAAAACCCTAATGACTCTATAATCTAATTTTGTTCAAGTTAGTATTATCTAAAGCTTGCTTAACCCATCTTCGCAGATAATTTGTGGAACCAATGGATTTCGAGAAGCGTAGATAATCTGCTAGCATGATATTATTTAGTTAACTAAACATATGAGAACACATTTGGACTGAGACAGCACAATGGCCCAAGGATGCATTCAGGGGGGATAAAGAGATGATGCTTCTAAATCAATAACAAGTCCTATTTTCATGTACAGCTAGTCTGTCTGCTGTCAAATGAGATGGATACGTATTGTCACTTAACTCAACACTCGGCAAATGATTTCCAATTGTCTTGTAGAAACAGGGTTATACACGCAACGTCTAACTCGTTGCTGCTTGCATAATTCATCGTTATCTGCGTTTGGTTTAGTGCTGTGTTCAGTTTATATAGTTCTTCACTGTTTGTCTAAGATCAACGTTGAGGAACCTAGTGAAATGAGTACGACTTATCGCCGAGTTCAAATAACCAACGTTATAGACTCAGGTAGGATTAAAATACCCTTTATTTCACTCAAAATAAGAATAGTAGTCGGCCCCTTTCTCGGGCTTACAGCAAAGCCTCCCCTCTGGCATTAACTCAGAATAAGGTATAAGAAACAAAACTATAACTAACTAGAGGAGACGTAGCGGAACCTAAACACAATTGTCTAACGTAGTTGGCCCTTCAATTTAAACTATGTAGCCAACGAATATCAAAAGGTACGTAATAATACAGCCGGGCGTAAGAGTTCCAAGACAGAAGCCCGAAGGCAAACACACTCGCTACTAAAGATTCCTAACTCTCTATAAAAGAACGTTGAACTTTCCTTAAATACTTCTTCTAACTCATTTGAATTCAAGAAGATTCTAAAACCCCATTCTGGTAGAGAGTTGTAAGTGTAAGCAAGAATTGATAGGAAAGGCTTGCCAAATTATGGTAACTAATATAAAATTAAAATATGCTTTACAAATTAACATAAAAAAGAATGGCTTTAAATCCTCTTCATCTACGAACTCTGTTTAAGCTTGAGCTCAACCTCGAAAGAAGAAATCTGGCTGAGATATCGAAATGCTATACATACACAGCACGTAAACGTCTGAACAGTATGTGGTGGACGAGACATACCACTGAACTAGATGAGCATCGGCTTTTTTAATCAGTTTCTTCTGGTGAATAGTTATGGCAATTGTGACTGCTTAGGACGTTAGCGAGATTTTAGAACTTGTAGTAGTCACCTTCAAATAGGGTAGTATCACAGCGTAGGATTATACACGTTCACATTCAAAAAATACTCGCAAAATGAATACGAAGTAATGCTATGATATCATGATTTAGCAAAATTCAAATTTTTTTCACTGACTTAAAATGACTGGGACGACGTCAAGAGTGAGGCTTAACTAAAACCTCATTAGAGACAAAAGCAAATATTTTTCAACGGATTAAGAATTCACAAGCGACAAGCTACGGAGGACGTGGGCCCTGTCCCTTTACCATAATGGTTAATCAGAATAAGAATTCACATCGAGCATATCAAAATATAAAATCGAACCACGGACCTCTGAAATACCGGTCAGCGTGCAGAACCCCTACACCACGAAGGCACGCTAGGAAAGGGGCAGAAATACCTTATTTACTCCCCTTTTTAGAGGGCGACTGGGGTTTTTAGGGGATCCAATCGCCAAATCCTGGGTGTGGAGAGTCATCCACCACAACCCTTTTAGTTCGGGCGCCACTGTAGGTACATTAGGATTCTTTTTTATTATTATTATTATTATTTTTTATTTTTAAGCCGGAGAGATGAAAAATTAGCAACCGCCTTCGCCGGGAATCGAACCACGGACCTCCGGAATACCGGCCCAGTATACAGAACCACTACACTACGAAGGTACACTAGGAAAGTCGGAGAAATACCTTATAACTTAAAAAGATTTGAAAATTTTAGAAATGAAAACGATTGATTTTTTAACCAAATGCATTAATAAATATTTATATGCTGAATATAAACTACGTTATAATCTGATTTTTAATCAGTCATTTTTATTTTCCATGCTTTTCATCCATGATATTTTTATAAATATTATTCATTCCGTATTATTTTTATCTATATTTTTTACATTTTATCCATATCATTTTTTACAATATTTTTTTTTACATTTTACAACATTATTTTTTTAATTTTACAATTTATCCATATTATTTTTTACATTTTACATTTATCCATATTATTTTCTATACTTTTTACCCATATTATTTTTTATCCATAATTATTAATAAACCCAGCTTACGTACGATTTCATGCAAGCCATTTCATCGAATTTCCGCTGTAATCGATGTCTTTTTACAAACGATTCGGGAAATACGAACTTCTGTCGAGCTTGATATATATAAATAACAAAATTATGATAGAAAATGGGGCCCGTTAGCTCCAAATGGTCAGACTAGACAGATGTTCATACTAACCCCATAATTTCACAAGCACCTTGTAAAGGACGCCTTTCCTTATACTTACTAAATATGTTAGAAAAGCAGTTTTACAGGAATAGAATTTCCGACCATCAGGATGGAATTTTTTAAACGTATTATTTTTAATAAACTTACTGAAAAACACTGACCTCTTTTAGTTCTTTTTTACAATGTTAGTGTTTCTGAAGGAAGCTGTAAATATTAGTAATTTTTAATTGATTAATTTCGCCGTTAAATGGGTTCAGTAGATACTATTAATAGCTTATTTATTACCTTTCATTTGGGTGTGGTGTAAGATAGGCCTTTTTTTAATTCTTTCCCAATGTTGGAAGAAATTTAAAGGGATTTGTTCAAATTCCATCTCCGCCTAAGTAAAAGGTTAGTGTGAGTGAGTGTGCTGTTGAAATGTCTTCCGACACAAAGGTAAACCAAACGAAATTACATACCATCCCAGCGGGAAAATCTTATTATCTGTCAAGATGTGGACAAATCAGTGATAATTAATAATCGAGTAAAATATCAATGATCCCAAAATTTTGAAGAGCATAATTACTGTGCTCGAATTCTGTAGTCAAAAATTAAGTTAGAAGATTACTTGTGTGTGGATGCCTATTACTATTACCCATCTGCACTACTGAAAACTAGCACTTCATTGCAAAGTATAGGTAAAATCACCTAGCCTACTAAATCAATGTGAAGAAACACAGGCATGTTACAAAATAATGCAGTATGGGATATATGAAAGTGAAAATATGTGCGAATCATGATAACATATAAATGCATGAAACATATATTAGCAGATAAATGTGAACTAAACATTTTTCCAACAAATATTTTCAGCGTTCCTGAGAAAGGTTCGGGTTTTTGTTGAGTAGATAACAAGCAAAAGGACATATTCTTATAGCAATAATATGCATAAGTTTAACTGTGAACATTGTCATTTAGTACTTCAAGCAAGAAATGAAATTAAACAGAAGTTGCTTACATTTGAATCAAATAGATATATATATATATATAAAGACCGAAATCTGAAAATGTCCACATTCTCCGATGAGTGTCAACATTCACATAGTCCGAAATATGTCCGAAATATTTGCTTAATATCCTTATTTCTCACTTACACTGGATAATGTCGACATTCACTATGCACTGATGGTGAATGTTGAATAAAGATATTTTTGTTATGTTTTTAAATCATACTTTAGTATTAAAACATATTATGATATGTTTCAGAATAGGAAAAATCCTAAGAAACAGCATATGTAGATAAACTATTGAACTTAAAACGAATTATAAATGAGAAAAAGAAAATAACACGAATAATGGTTACAGGCGAAAACATCGCGGCAAAAACAACGCGGACGAAAACGTCGCGGAGAAAACAACGCAAGGCGAAAACGTCGTGCTACAAAACATCGCAAAGAGAAAACATCGTACTTCTAAAACATCGTGGTACAAAATTATCGTCGTCGAAAATAAAGCGGTTCAAAAACTTTGCAGTTTAAAAACATCGTCGTCGAAAATATCGTGGTAAAAAATAAAGTATCTACAAATGATCGCATGACGATAACATCGCAGACACTCTTTTTTCAGGCTTTAATAACTGTAAATGGATATTCCCATAACGATTTGTGAGCGCAAAATGTAAAGAAGAATAATTTTACTTTCATATTTTTATTAACTAATAAATGTTTTCTGATAAAGTAAGGAGGAAACTTAAAAAAATTAATGCAACTTATAGCACTTAATGGAATTTTAAACTGACATAGTTAACTAACAAGGGCCAGTAATAAATCGTTTTTGTAAAGTTTTTACTTGTAATTTTTCATGAAAAGTATAATCTAAAAAAGATTAGAAAAAGGAAGGCAAGTAACTACATGACCTTATCTATAAAAGAATTGCTTTCGTAAAAAATAAAAAAAAATTTATAAGCAAACATTAGTTAATAATAAATATGAAAGCAAAAATTATCCTTCTTACCATCTTGCGCTCAGAAATCATTATGGAAATATCCATTTACAATTATTAAAGCCTGAAAAAAGCCACTTGTCTGCGATGTTATCGTCATGCGATGATTTGTAGATATTTTATTTTTTCCCAGGATATTTTCGACGACGCTGTTTTTAAACTGCGAAGTTTTTGAACCGCTTTATTTTCGACGACGATATTTTGTACTACGATGTTTTAGAAGTGCGATGTTTTCTCTTTGCGATGTTTTCTCCCACGATGTTTTGTAGCACGACGTTTTCGCTTTGCGTTGTTTTCTCCGCGACGTTTTCGTCCACGATGTTTTTGCCGCAATGTTATCGGCGGACACCCGAATAACTTACTTAATTATTTGACTGACGTTATACAAACTTATTTATTGCAACAACTTGAACTCTTTTATGACATTTTGAATTGCACAAGAATCTCTTGCTTTTACAACAAGCCGAATTTCAATAACTATTCATGACTGTAAACTTCATTTTGATTACTCTTAACGCAGTAAAAATGTAAACGATTTCCGCAGTTTTAACTGAAAGCATATTTCTACAGAGCGAATTAAAATGTCAAAAACTCACCCAAAGAGGATGGAGACTTAATTCTCTGTCTGTCTACTCGGCATCTCATTTCGACCTCCACCACAGCATATTTGTGCTTGTCGACATACACCGGTGATGCTCCGAATGTAGAACAATATAACCAAATATTTGGTCTTTCACTGACATATACTTATTTCTCATTTATTTATAGTATGAATCTGGCATCAATACAAATATGTATTGATATTCTCCGCAGAATGTCGGCCTTCTTCAATTTCAGACTGTAGGATTATTAGGTTATTTGGAAGCAAGAAACATGAATAATGAGCAATGCCCTGGCTGGAACTCGAACCAGGACCTTTTGAATACATGCTGAGTGTGCTACCGTTACACCCCGAAGGCATGCAGAAAGGAGAAAGTAAATACCTTATATATTCTCTCTTTTAAAGTACGACTTGATATTAGGGGACCCAATTGCCAAATCGTGGTCGTGACGAATCATCATCCATTCCCTTTTAGTTTGGCTCCAGTGAAGAGTCATTAGCTTATATGGAAGCAGAAAACATAAAGCAATGAGAAATGCCTCGCTGGGACTCGAACCTGGACCTGTCGAATACGCGCCGAGTGTGCTACCGTTACACCATGAAGGCATGCAGAAAGGAGGGAAGAAAATACCTTATAAGTCTTTCACGGTAACATCAGCATTGAAAAATAAAGTTATGTAAATTACTTTATTTTTCAATGTAAATTAGTAATGTAAATTACTTTATTATGTAATGTAAATTATAATGTAAATTACTTTATTTTTCAATGCTGTAATTAATGTAAATTACTTTATTTTTCAATGCTGTAATTAATGTAAATAAAATTAATTTAATAATGTAATAAACTAAATTAATGTAAATTAAATGTAATTAAATTAGCCTTAATTAATGTAAATAAAATTAGATAAGTGAAAAAAATAAGTCAGCATTTTGTTTCTTATAAAGAAAGATAAAGCAATGAGATACTTTGAATATTTGAAAATTAAACAAAAAAGGATACCGAAGATAATAAGCCAATTATCAAACAGAAATAGAAGTCATTCCAAATCACAAACTGTGAATGTTTTATTCAATTTGTTTCCGTTCTTACTCATAAAGTCTGATTTTTCTGCTGTACCTACAAGATCATTTATAAGAAAAGTACCATCACTCACAAAAAGAAAAATGCTGCACAACAGACTTCTTTTCTTCCAACCAAATCTTAACTGCATTTCAAATTCTTATTCTGCTTTTTTTTAAAGTTCAATCATTCTTGTTCGTTATCACAAAAGGAACATGCGCCATTAGTTATGCGCATGCGGAAACAGTACGTAAATTAATTAAATAAATAATTTCACTTAATAAATATATACCTTACATGGTTCCAAACTTAATTTTCAGTGTTTAACTATTAAATAATATGTTATATTTTTATGCTGTTAATACATAATTTTATATAACTAATGTTCATAATTATTAGGTGTATTCATAACTATTATTTGTAACAATAGCAGTATATCTAGTAGTAATAATAGTATTATTCAACTAGTATTATTCAACATTCCTTAGTATAACAATAGCAGTAATAGTAATAGGATAATTCTTTAGTATAATTCCATATTTACGAAAAAATCTAATATTGAAATACTAGAGATTCTCTAAAATTCTCGGAAATTTACGTTACGTTGGAGTTGCTGTCATAATAGTAATGTTATCCTTAAGCACCTTTCAACCAACTTCTTTCAGTGTTCCTGAGAAAGACTGTAAAGACTATTTGTAATTAATATGCATCAGTAATCAATAATAATTCTTTTCGGATAGAATTTATTTTTTTCACGTTTCGTTGAGAAAATAATGAAAAAAAGGAGAATTATATCACAGACATTATATATATATATATAGTCGTTAACTTACGTTTGATTGTTTATTAATATTGATATGCATATATATAGTCTTTACTTACATTTGATTATTTATTAATAGTTTATATATATACATATATAGGCCTTACTTATGGTTGATTATTTATTAGTATTGATAGATATATATAGTCGTTACTTACATTTGATAATTTATTAATATATATATATATATATAATATATCATTATTAACTAAAAGGATTTTCATTCAAACAAATCATTTAAAAACTAATGCTAATTGAAGAAACTATTATTATTCGAGCACTGGTTGAAATAAACGAATGAATACCCAAAAACAAGAAAGAAAGAAACTTATTTAAACATTGTTTTTCTTTTATATAAATGTTTCTTGTCGATAAAACTGCAAGTAGTAAAGATACCATTTTAAATACATATAACAATTTTACTTTAAAATTTACCTGAGATTTGAGAAAATTATTTTAAGATTTCCTTAACAGTTAGAAGTTTCAATAACTATTCACGATTGTAAATTTCATTTTTATGACTCTTAACGCAGTAAACATTTACACGATTTCCTCAGTTTTAACTGAAAACATATTTCGACAGAGCGAATTAAATTGTCAAAAACTCACCCAAACAGGATGGAGACTACGTTGGAGATTTTACCGTCCTTCCGGTCACGATTCGCGCAATTTATGAGGCGACGACAACGCCCTCTGTCACATTCATTTTCGGTTTTTCGAAAATGCCCATGGCGTGAATGGAATGCAAAAATCTTGTTTTCAAAATTGACCTTGTTTTCTCAAACATGAACTGAGCAGAAGGTTTTGACTTTCAGAACAAGAAGACCTTTTGTGATGCATTTTTTTTGGGGGGGGAATAAGCACGCACACTCAGATTTTTTTGAGTGGGTGGCTTTGAAAAAACGAAAATATGCGAACGTCTAAAGAAATACTGTACTTGAAAAGAAATGTGAAAATGAAATGAATATAGTCGTCTGGTAAGCGCAAATGAGGATGTGCAAAATAAACGCAATATATTCAAGAAAGGAGGTTGAGAAATTTATTTTTTGAATATTGACGCTAGACATATACTTCTGAGATAAAATAAGGTACAATACTTTGAAAACAACTTTAGTACTGTGTATGCAAAAGGCTCCTTAAAACTAAAATTTGATTTCTTATATGGTTTCATTATGGAAAACCTCTAATTGGTAAAATTAATATATAGAAGAGTAACATTTCATTGTAAAATATAAATTTAAGCTGATAAACATAGGTAGCCTTGGAGAGTTATTAGATGTTTTTGAAGTAAGGGAAGTGAAAAATGTGCAAAGCTCTCGCCGGGACTCGAACCTGGATGTCTCGAATACGCGCCGAGTATGCCACTGTTACACCACGAAGGCATGCCGGATGGAGGGAGAAAATATCTTATAGTCTTAAATTTTTTTAAACTCTCTATCATATTCGAGTTAACTAAAGTAAATTCCTTTTCGGCAGAGAAAAAAACTCTTTTTCCAAAAAATTTGTAATTTTTTAAACCATTTTTTGCGTTTATATAAAAATTTTATTTCGTTATTTGACATGCAGCGGTTCTAAAACAAAAACCTACTATTCTTACAATTTTGTTGGGTTGCCAAAAGCCAAAGGTGAATGAAACTCCGCACGTACGAAAACCGTGTGTGAGTACTATGACTTATATCACTTGTCTGAACATCAGAACAAGCCCACGAAATACCTCGCGGCAAGGAGCGCAAGATACGCTTGTCGTTGACAACAACCTTGAGTACCTTACAGGAGACAGTGCGATTTAGCGCAGTTCCGACCCCAGTTTTGAGGAAGAGCTCCCCGTCCGAAGGTCTCCCATTCCACCTAACCACACAGGAGAACTTTCAACTCGCTGGATACTGAGAGTGCCTCCCTGCCGCACTGACACTATACATTTACAAACATCCATGCCTTCCCCGGGATTTGAACCCGGGTCCTTCGGCACAGCAGTCAGCGACGCTAACCATTAACCCGGCTGCGCGGCTGCAAAATCGTGATTGAAGTAACGAGCGGCACTGACGTCACCAGTAGTTCTGTCAACCTCAAGAGGTACGACCAGCTGCTTCAGTCAGATCCCTTCTTTGTGCTCAACACGCAGCGCGCATGATCTGCATTTTCCACTGCGACTTTCAATTACCCTTACAACAGCAGCCCTTTTCCACATATGTCGAATCCTTGCGTCCTCCTCCAGAAGTACCAGATCTCCTTTCCTAAAGGAAACTAATTTCTGGATACTGCGTACTTGATGACAACTGCGTAGTTCCAGAAGATATTCCTCAGACCATCTCTTCCAAAATGTATTCAACACATTTTTCTACATTCTATTTTTTCTTGTAGGATTAGCATTTTCGGATTCAGTTTCGATATCAACTTTGTCAGTTTCTTGCAGAGTATATTTTAATTTTGTAACAGTTATTTCTATTTCAAAACCCTTTCTTATCAATTTTTGCTTCTGCTCACTAACACTGCTTCCACTAACTCGGCGTAAACAAGCCCCATGGCTAGAAGTTCTCAACGCCACAGAACACTAATCGCTAACAAATCAAAGATAACGACGTGTCCTTAAGCAGCCAAAACATTCTCCAGATTCACCTTCCAAACCTTCCCTTAAATACATACTACTTTCTACCTCATTTGAATACACGCGCGTTAACTCATTAATATTATAGCAAGAAGAGTCAGTTGAAAGCGAAGGCAATCGGAAAGATTGCTTCAAAATTAAATGAACTGTTAAATAACTTAAATAAATCCCACAAGCGCCTGCTTACGAGCATGTATTGCAGCATTTAATGATGTAGTGGGATAGTATACATAAGTTTTACTGCTTTCAAATGTGCTTAGGATGACTGTAGATTTATTTTAAATGCCGGTTATTTCAAACTGCACTCGACATCTAAGTTGTGCAATACTTAAGGAAGATTCAATTGCTTTAAACTGCAGTGAATCCAAATTAATAATTTGTAATTTCAATATGTCTGTTAGACGCGAATGGACAAAAACTGGACATGCATCGAGTTAACTGAGTAATGTCCGTTAGATTTGAGGACTAGCAAAGATTTTGACGACTCATTTTTCTCGCCAAATTTGGCGGGAAATCACCAAAAGTCGCCATACTTGGCGAGCATTTGACGAAAATTTGGTCCGGTTTCTGTATAACCGTAATAGGTATTGCAACTGAATAACTGTAATTGATTCCATATGCAACTGCAACGATATCCAGGTGTCATATGCCTTTCAGTTGTTTAGTTCGGCGTGATTTCAGAGCACCGAGATCTCTCCGTGTGAGCTTCGCTCTTTAGATGCGCTTTGCATTGCATTGTGTTTAACGTTCTTAGTATTTGAAGTGTAACTGCTGATTGTGCTCTGTGATAATGTGAACAGTTGTAAGAGTACTTTTGTGGAAAGGTACAGAACTGCGAAGTGTTTCTTTAGGTTAAAAATAAATTTCAAGCTATCATCGGTTCGTGTGCATTCAATACATTACGAACCCATAAGCGCGCAACAAGGCGATTGTGAAAGAAATATTTTCGGAGGAAAAGGAAAAAAGAAAAAATTACCTTAACTCTTTGACCTGTAAAATCTTTGAAAAATGTGGCAACATGCAAAATTTCCACGTAATGTTATCACACTTATAACCTAGCAGCAAGGTACAGTATTTGCATTTCCAATGACAATGCCGTTGTCAATCTACAAACATTTTAAATATACAAAACCACCAATCGCATCGGTCAAATTTTGAGTAAAACCGACGCCCTGTGTGTCTCAAGCGGAGTCGAGTAGCACTAAGATACAAAGAAAAAAACTGGAAAAGATGCTCCAGGAATACAACTACTTTGCCATTTTTATGGAAAGAGGCTCCCCATCCCATAACAACTCTTTGCTTTCTTTGCCCATCAATTTCCACTTATGCATTTCATTTGCCTTCACACAGGTATCGTAAAATTAAATTAATTTAGTTTTATGATACCTGTATAAATTATATATGTTTAATATGGTACTAGATTTAATGATTTCCATTAGTTTTGTGTCGTGAACTTGGGTGCGAAGTGTATAGAGTTTATGTGTATTCTTTGGTAACATACATCTTTGACTCTACGTCGCAAGCGAAGTAGCGAATTCTCGCTATGTCTTTAAGATTAAATCTGCAGAAGAAAGGCTTAAATAACCTTTTGATTTAAACTAAATTAAGACAGATCTCACAAATCACCATATTTTGTGGCTACGTCACAAAAAATAAGAATGTAACAAATCACTAGTAAATTAAGATAATCTAATGACCGGCTCCCTAGCTTTAAACTAACGCTACATCGACTGCACACAGCAAAGCCGCGCCGAGAAATATCAGTATAAACTTGAAAGGTGTTGAACACCGAACTAGAGAGCTAATTTAAAACTCGCATAAACAAGGGAACTAAGTCCGCTACTACCCCTTTTTAAATTCTTGAAACGCAGCTTAAATACTGCTTTGAAACATGTTAAATTACATCCAATAGATGGATGGGAGGGATGCCTTCGTGGAGGATGTATTAAGGAAAACTGGCTCGTATTAACACGTTACACATGAGGTAAACCACAAAAACGCCCATGCAGCCAGCCCGTTTGCGGATTTCGAACTTCGGAGCGAACTACCAGTGTTTGGGGGCTTTACCACAAAGTACTGTTGTAAAGCTTAAATGAGTAGTCATATATAATGGCACAAGAACGAATTCATCCATTTTACATTACTTTTTATGGGGATATTGTTTCGGTTTAAGAGCCTGTAGAGACATTGAGTATTTTTTTAAAACAGGAGTGATGAAAAATGAGCAACGCCCTCGCCGGGAATCGAACCACGGACCTCTGGAATACACGCCCAGCGTGCAGACCACCACACCACGAAGGCATGCTAAGAAGGCGGGAGAAATACCTTATAAGCTTATAGTGTTGCGTGGCCCCAACCTGTCAGCAACTATGGTAGTGACTGCTATGAACTGTAAATTACACAAACTCGTAAGAAGGGTTTAAATCCCTTTTTATTCCACTTTATAAATAACAGCTGCGTTCACTTGACGCTCACAAACTACACCGACCCGGCGGTTTAACAAAACAGAAATGTGAAACTAAAAATAAATGACAGGATGAATAAATAACGAGATCACTACCTACGAAGCTCTAAAATCGTAACTAACTTAACCGCGTTCTGCGATTCAGCAAGCTTACTGATTAAGCAGTTGAAATATTCAGTAAACTGCCGAGATAGGCACACAGGCCGAAACGCGCGGTTCTTAAATTTTTACCTAGCAACCTTCACGTTAGCGATTCAAGAAGCACACATACAATATCGTTTCCCTTCTATTTAGACTCAACTTACTTCTGGTAAAATTTGAATATACTGCGCGTTCTACTACAATTTACATACTCTGGCATTGGCAATTCTAGGGGAAAGTAAAGGCTTGACAGGAAAGATAGCTTGAACTTAAAATAAATGTTAGTTAAAATAAATATAAACCCTACAAGCTTTTCTGATTTGAAAGGGCCATCGGTAACGAATTAAATTCACGAAAGGAGATATCACTGTCCGTCACATTCCCAACCTTCTTTAAAGTAAATAAATTTTAAAAACAAATACAATAAGATGAAATAAAACCTCTAGTAAC